AGGCGCAGAGGGTGAAAACCACTCCACGTGGGATGCTGAAGCGTCTATGCACCGCATTCCTTCGCCGAACTCTGTGGCTCCTTCGCCGGCCAGACAACGTGGAGTAAACAGTCAGTCCCTCTGTGGGGACAGAAGACGACAAAAACCATATCGAAGACACACCCTGGGGGAGGTTTTGCGCATGCCTAAGAATTTCGCAACGCCGAAATCAAGCTTCGAGCCGGTTGTGGTCTAAGTGATGTCCCAGGACGGCCAAATCGACCACAACCACAAGCAAAGTGTTCATGCCGAGGTCGGCGGGTTCTCCCCGAGGGGCACTCCCGAAAAATCCAGTAATTGTGGTTGTGGTTCTTTGCTGCGCGCGGACCGCCAATCGTATCATGAATTGTTCTCAGGATCTCGAGGTCTATGGAAACGCTGGGAGGCTCCTGGGAATCCATGCGAACCTCGCCCTCCCCCCTCGACCATAGAGGGAAAAAAACATGGGGAAACTGGTCCTAGACCCCGGGACCGTCCACCAAGACCAGCGCTTCATCCCGAGACGTCCTTTGAAGAATCCTTGCGCCCATGGGGAATCCAGAGAGGTCAAAAACCTGCGAGAGACCTCAAGGCCTGTTTCCCTCGGGACCCATCTGCTTCATGGCGACCCCCCCTCCCGCCCCTCCGCGGAGACGGATGATGAGGAACAAAAAGCTGTCCGGGGGCTCACGAGGGCCTCGGTCATGCATGACAACAACGCCCGCAACTCGAAGCTCGAAGGCGGAAAAGGAAGAGGAGGAGGAAGAGGAGGAACAGCTGAGGGAGGTGTGGGAGCAGCAAGACATAAAGGAGGAGGAAAAGGAAGAGGACGAGGAGGAGGAGGGGGAAGAAAAGGAGGACGAACCGGACGAGGAAGGGGAGCAGTGCAAACCCAAGACTCATCAAGGATGTTGCAATAAGCCCTCCCTCCAAACTTCCTCTTTCACAGGTCCATTACAAGGATTGATTTCCACTGAAGGAAAGGCCGAATTGGGAAGCAACCGATCGAAAATCTTGAACCGTGCCAAACATTGGTCTTGGGACTTCAACGCCACGGACCAATCTTGAAGTTGCGTCTTGACGATCCTGAGTCCTGGCAACAAACCATTCCTGGGACCTCAACGCCGAACTGTTGCGCCCTGACAATCCCAATCCCCATGGCCGGCGTGCTAGCAATAAATCGTTGAACCTCTTTCAAATTTGTCTAACGAATGTGCACGGCGCTGGGGCGAGAACCACGTTTTGAAAAAGAACCGCCCTCCATCCGTGAAACAATTGCATACTGTCAGAGCATGCGCGCGGGGCTGCGTCCAGGCGAAAGCCAGCTCTTGAGAAGAAGCCGCGCTCCGTCCGTGAAGCTCTTACATCTTCCTAGAACGGAATGTTCGGCGTCACCCCAACATACTTATACTATAGGTGCGTCGCCCGCCCAGGGGTGACGCGCGCGCCGAGAAATCGTATAGTATATGTGACGTGGCGGGCGCTTTCCGACCACCCCGCTCGGGAAACGATATACTACAATATGGGTATACTATATGATCAGGTCGAACGCGCGCGTCCAATGTGCGTCGCGCGGCGCTATGGCGAGAGCCACAATTTGAAAACGGACCACCCTCAATCCGCGAAACGTTTGCAAAATTATAAACGATGTGCGCGACACAATTTGACAGCGACCCGCCCTCGATCCGTGAAACGGTTGCCAATCTCAAAGCTTCAGGCTCATAAATGGCGAAGAAATCTCGGGCGAAACGCCCAGCCCGCCCTTCCGACCAGCCTCGAGGCGCGACAGGGGACAGTCGTCTATGAGGAGGAATGGGAGAAGAGGGTTTTAGGTGACATGGCTCGGGGGCGCCTTATCCCCGTTGGTGAGCCCAGCTACCAGGTGTAATCACCCTGTAGTGCACGGTAGCCCGTGCTGCCGCGACTGGAGCGGCTGTGGCCGACGTTCCCCCCCTCTTGGGCCACCCAAGCAAACCAGATGGGGCGCCGCGCTTGCAACGGCTGCGTGACCGACTCGGGGCCACCTAAACAGGTCAAAGGGGGGCCACGGGTAGATTGTGTCTGGGGGGAGCACGATTTGTCCGCCCAGGCGCCCAGCGGACTGAAGCCCCAGTCTCCGAGTCACGGAATCGGTGCGCCGTTGGGGGTTTGGGCAATACCACGATTCGCACTCGCGCGTCTCATTACGTCGCGCAGTATATGACAGAGGTATGATGATGGACATTCCGATGTTGATTTCGTTAGAGAGACCGCGCGTCAATACAAAGCGGAGATAGGCAAATATTATCCGAGGCGAGGTCCCGCGTCTAGTTAATTACATCAACGGCGCATGAGCTGCAGAATTGCGCGTATGCTAACGTTTACGCACATCTCGTGGTCGACAGCGCTGTCATGCCCCGCGCGCGCTGCGGTGCGGAAAAATATCGGACGCCTAGCAAAACCCGCACACAAGGGCAGGACGCCCATGCCCGTCCACTGATAGGGATGGGCATCCGAGCTTCAGGCACGAGTAGCCACTGCCTGTACATCTACAGGGTTGGGCAACCAAACAAGCGCGTCGCCTGCTAGACCCGGTCGATGTCGGAGGCTGCCGCGCCCGCAACGGCAATCTGGCCGACCCGCGGCCATTTAAGCGGGCCACATTGCTTGCAGGCCAAGCAAATAGTTGTTTGAGGGGGCTTTTTGTGGGACGGGATGGCCATGCCTGTCCATCGACAGGGATGGGCATCCTAAGTGTAAGCGCTATGTGTGGATGCCAACATCTATGCATCGCAGGGGTGGGCACCATGCCGGCACGTCGCCTACTTGACACCTTCAGTGTCGGAGGCTGCAGCTTTCGCGGTGGCAATATGGTATGTTTGCTGTCAGTGCGCGAGCCATAGCTTCCGGGTGCCTAGCAGAGCCCTCGTTGCGAAAGCGGGATGCCAATGCCTGTCCATCGAGAGGTATGGGCATCCAAACCAGCACGACGCCAACTTGTAGCCGTCAACGTCGAAGTCTGCCTCGCCCGCAACAGCGAATGACCGTCACATCGCCATTGAAACGGGTCAAAGTTTTCGTGAACCAAGCGAAGCCCTGGTTGCGAGGGCGGAATGCCCATGCCTATCCGCCGACGGGGATGGGTATCCTAGCGTTTAGCACGGGGGCGGACGCCAGATTTTCCAAGCCATCGTAACACAAAAAACGGGAGCCAACTCCTGTCCATCGGTAGGGGTGGGCACCCAGATTAGCACTGCGCCTACGTGAGACCGAGGCTGTCGAGGGTTGCCGTGCTCGCAACGGCAGTAGGGCCATCAAGCGGCCACCGAAACGGGCCTCGTAACACGACCTCCTTGGGGGGGCCGCGCCTGGCTGGAACGTGAGGCCGTTTCATGTTACGCCACTGTCGCCCAGCCACTCACCAGGTAAGGCGCTACTCAGGGGTGTTCTTCGAGTGCAGTGAACTCTTGGTGGCGCCCAGCGCGTCCCCCGAGCTCTTCCCCGTACCCGGTATCGCATGGTGTCGGCACGGTGGAGGAAGAGGAGGTGGAGGAGGAGGAGGAAGCGAGCGAGCGAGTGAGCAGGCGCGACGGTGTCCGCCAAGGGCGGGGCCTCTAAGGCCAGCGCGGGTGGGCCTGAGCCCTCAGGGGTTGCAGTAGTCGTCGGCGTGGGCAGGTTAGGGGAGGGGTGCGTCATGGAGCGTATGCGGTATGCATGACCCAGAGTCGGTGTCCGAGAGCTTTGGTCATGCTCTTCCGCTCGTGCACACGTCGCACTCTATCCTGGAAGCGTGAGATCGAAAGCTGGACGCGTGAGTTTTGATATCGACGGTTGTTGGCGGGCGTTGCAGGTCGAAAGCTGGAGACTGAAAGTTGGGAGGTGGAAGGTGGAGGTCGGTAGTCAGAGGAAGGTCGGGGCTGGAGGTCGCAGCGTGGAGGCTGGAAATCGGACACGTGAGGTTTGAGGTCGGCAATTGCTGGCGGGAGTGGGACGTCGAAAGCTGAAGTCAGGGTGTCGACAAACAGAGGGTGAAGTCGGACCGCGGGATCTCGAGGTCGTGAGGTGGTGGCTGGGGATTGCGCGAGTGAGGTGCTGAGGTCTACTGCTGCTGGTAACTGGGCGTCGGAGGTCTCGAGCTGGAGACCGAAGTTGGGAGGTGGAGGGTGGAAGTCGGCAGAAGTACGAATGTCAGAGCTGGAGGCCGTAATGTCGAGGCTAGAAGTCCGACGCGTGACACTTGAGGTTGACATCTGTGGTTGGAAGTCGGAGTTCGAGAATTGGAGACAGAGAGCAGGTAGGAAGTCGGAGTGCGGAAGCTGAAGGTCGCAAGGTGGGGCTAGAGGTCACAATCTACAGGCTGGAAGTAGCGCGAGTAAGGTACTGAGGTCAACTGCTGCTGCGCTGGAGGTTCAAAACTGAAGCCGGGAGCGAAAGCGCAAGAGGAAAACGGAATATCCTAGATCAACAGTCGGCGTCGGTAGGGCTCTGGGGTATGAAAAATGAACTGCTGCATGTAACTCATAAAATCGTCCTCCATAGCAATCGACCACTGATCATTCCTGGCCATCTCCGCCCACTGGTTGTTGTCGTAGTCGTCTGGTGTAACCGTTTTGACAAGATGCACGATATCGTTGTGCCACGCTTTCCGTTGGCCATCGTGTCGTCATTCTGCTGGTCGAGAGTCTTGCTCACGCAGGTCCCAAATCGTACCTCGCCTTCTGCACCTATCGGGAAGACGGTTGGCAACTCTTGCTGCGTTGCGCCACTCCCGTGTGGTGAGTACATGCATTCATTATGCCATATATTTGCGCCCTGGGATAGCAAGCGCAACGCACGTACTCCTGCATGCAAAATTTACTCAAGGCTCCAAACCGTCATGGCTGTTGTCGTCTTTCCAGAACGGGTCGGGGTTGTCGTTGTGGTTATTGGCGTCGGTGCTGGTGCTGTGAACCGAAACCCTACATGACGCATGGCGTGACAATACCGTTGAAAAGCCGGAGTCTGCTATGCAATGCAATCTGCTGATTTGTGAGTTCGTCCCGTAGCTGGTTAAACTTGGGCCACCCTGTGGTGATTATATTGCGTAACTCGTGATGGTGAAAATCGTGGAGCGACAATTTCCTATCTAAGTGATTCGTGCTCTGGTCATTGGGCAAGATGTCAGTGCGTGCGTCGGCCAGAACGATGTGCGTTTGTTTTCCCCAGCCTCCAGCTGACATTGGTGAGGATGCTGGTCTAGTCTGTGTGTACTGATTCCCAAAATACGATGCTTTGTTTTTCAAGTCCCGCCATATACAAATGAGATGTCGACAGTTCGGGGCGTACAGCAAGACGTCGTCCGTGAACCATAGGTTGACGATGCTAGTCTCGCTTGTGCACGGCCGAGCTTAGTGCCGAACCTCCTGCGGTGCCAACTGGGCTTGATTTTCACGGAGAGCGTTGAACAAGCACACACTGATGAGATCTCCTTGTTTCACGCCGCAGTATGAGACAACTGTGGTTGCTGGTGTCGGTTTTGAGAGGCCGTTTGCTCGCTGCACCTGTGCTGTGGGAAACTGATATACGCATCGGGGACGAGCTGCTGTCGCCAAATTTCGAAGAGTTGACTGCGACTCGCGCAGTCGAAAAGCTTCTTGATGTCGACCGATGCTGCCCACAGAGAGGACAGGAGGAAGAGATGGGAGGGAAGCGGAGGAGGAGGAGCGAGGAGGAGGAGGAGGAGGAGGAGGAGGAGGAGGAGCGAGGAGGAGGAGGAGGGAGGAGGAGGAGGGAGGAGGAGCAGAGGCTCAGCGAGAGGCCCCTCCACTCCACTCCCCCCCCTTCTCTCGGGGAGGAGCGCGGGCACCGTGGAGCGGAAGTCGCGCAGCTTGAGCAGGCTCTCCACCGTGAAGCCGCGCACCTCGGGGGGGCGGCGCCGGGCGGGCCCGAGGCGGGCCGACGAGGAGGCGGGGGCAGGAGGCGAGGGAATAGGGAGGCTCGAGGAGGGCAGCCGGACTCGGGAGGCTCGAGGAGGCGGCTCTCGAGGAGGGTAGGCACCTGGAGCAGGAGGCTCGAGGCGGAGGGGGAGGCTCAAGCGGGGCCCGGATCGGGAGGCTCGAGGAGGAGGCGCGAGGAGGATCTGGGTCGGGAGGCCGAGGAGGAGGAGGGCCGGGCGAGGATCTGGACAAGGAGGCTGGGGAGGAGGCTCGAGGAGCAGCGCAAGGACTACGACTGACGGAGCTCCGCGCGGCTTTCTCGGATCGGCGCTGGACCTACGCGCAGGGGGGGCCAGCCCCGATGACGAGAAAATCCGCGCGGACTGCAAAAAGTATATGATCATTGGCCGGTCTGTTTTGAATCGTCGTTGTCGTCCTGATCGTCGTCGTCGTCGTCCTGATCGTCGTCGTCGTCGTCGTCGTCCTGATCGTCGTCGTCGTCCTGATCGTCGTCGTCGTCGTCCTGATCGTCGTCGTCGTCGTCCTGATCGTCGTCGTCGTCGTCCTGATCGTCGTCGTCGTCGCCGTAACCCTGATCGTCGTCGTCGCCCTGATCGTCGTCGTCGTCGTCGTCCTGATCGTCGTCGTGTTCGCGTCGTCGAGGATCCAGGTGCCTGGGCTGTTCTAAAGCTTTTCGGATTTCAGAGAGAGGCAGAGAGGTTTGAAGGGGCCCAGGGACACACACAAACAAACACACACACACACACACGCCAATCCCAGGACTCTCCATGGCCCATGTTGCAACATGTCCTGGGGGTCCGTCTCCCCTCCTCTTCCCATAGTTCTCGGGGATGGACTGACCTCCCTTTAGTAAAACGTGGTTTAGTGAAAACGACCTGAGGCCCAAACCTGGCGGGCGCAGGCCTGGAAAATAACGGCCACGGCGCCCTCTCGAGAACCGAACACGGACAATTCACTAATCGACGTGTCACTGTTGGGGTTTCTGTCCACCCCCGAAGTGCCCCGTCCTCTCCTGGGAATCGCCGTTCGCTTGTGCCCGTGCTTTCCTCCTGCCCCCCCCCCCCCCGAGGGGCGAAGTCCCCGCCGCTGGCCCCCCTCGAGAGGGCGCGGAGGCGCCGGAGCAGCGGCAGCAGCGGCAGGTGGCGGGGAGAGGCGCTCCGGGCCAGCGCCTCGTGGCCTCTTGTGGGGGGGAGGGGGGGGGGGCGATCGGCTTCGGTCGGGCATGTCCACCTACAGGGGGATATTCGGCAAAAAAACGATAAGTAATCAAAAAATATCTAAAAATTCTTCACACATGCTACAAGGAATCGTCCCCTGACTATTTTTTGACTACTTTTGCATATTCCTCCTGTAGAGAGACACGCCCGAATCGGTCTGGAATCGGCGACACACCGCCAGCAGGTCGGCGATGCAGCGGAGGCCCGTCCAATCCTGAGACCCCGGGACCCCCCTTGGTGCGGGACCGTCACGCCTTCCAGCGCAAAACCATCGAAACCCAAGAAACCCGGGGCACCGTGGAGGCAAGCAGGGGGGACCCCACTGTAGGCCCCCGATAGCAGATCCGCACGTGCCTGACGTTCCTGGGCAGGTTGGGGCTATCGGGCCCCTCTCGGCGAGCAGTGGGCGGTTGGGGGTCGATGCCGCCCCCCCTGTGCCTGTGCCTCCCCGTCGTTGCCCCTGACCTTTCCTCGACGGGGGCCGAGAACTCTGACCCTTCTCGCCTGGATCGATGTTTCGGCCCAGACTGCCCCTCCGAGCCGGAGGCACAGATCGGGGGGGGCCAGCTCGACGAGAACTCCGACCCGATCGCCTGGATCGATGCCGCGACGCGGACTGTCTTTGCGAGCCGGAGGGGACACCATGCGGGGGGCACCTCCACCTGGGGACATCCGGCATGAGCCGGCGACAACTCACGTCGCCGATGGATCGGCGGCAGGTCCTCGGCAGCACGTGTACACGCCCGCACGTTGCTGGGCGGGCCGGGCTCCCCGGGCCTCCTCGGCGATAAGAGGGCGTCTGGGGGCCGATGCCTCCCCCCCCCGCCCGTCGTTGTCCATCGTTGAGCTTAGGTCGGGCATGTCCATCTACAGGGGGATGTTCGACGAAAAGTGAAAAATAGTCACAAAAAGATATATCCAAAAATGCTTCAGAAATACTACAAAAAATCGTCCCCAGGCTATTTTTTGACTATTTTTGAATATTCCTCCTGTAGAGGGACACGCCCGACTTACCGTTGAGCCCCGCGGGCGCCAGGAACGGTCTCCCCCAGCCCTCCACGGAGCCGGATGCCCGGGGAGGCAGAGGGAGGTGGGAGAGCCGGGCCGGACGAGTACAGCCGGCCCGTATGCGCGCTAGGCTTGTGGATGCCATGACAAATGGACACCCGAACAAGTCTATCATTGAATTAAAAACGTGCCTCAAGTGTTTGAACACGTTCTTACAATGTGTACAACCCTGTTCTTTACATGTTTGAAACATGCTGTACACATCTGGACATCATTTGGCAACACGCTTCCTCTCCACTGATCGCCGTCCACAACGATGAAGATGCAGGGGTCTTGGGAAACCATTCCGAAGCTTTTCGAACGGGGCGCGACGAACGAATGTGGCCCAGGATGGGCCTCTGGAGACAAGGAGGCGAGGGTACCCTTGGGAAGGTTGCCCATCCTTACTATGCGGGTTGACTGTAGGACGCGGAGTTAGCGAATCGGCTCACGCGGCCCAAGCCTCCACGGCGCCTCCGAGCGCCGGAGGCGCCGGCGTACGGAATGAAGCGCTATAAGCGACGGGGCCGAGGCCAGCTGCCGCATGCAGCTGATTTTTCGTACAGGCCCCTGCAATGACACGATATGGCTACTGCTCTCCTCTCTCCCCGACTCCGTGCGGAAGCTATCCCGCCCTCCTCCGCGTGCTCTCTCGTCTGCACAGGACTGGACCGACTTGATTTTTCAGCCTGTGCATTTAGATTATGACTGCTGCCGGTGCTTTCAAAGCGCTACAGCATGGACCTCCTTTTCGGATCGACGCTGTGCCACAGGCGTTCGGAATGGCGCTCCCGCCCCCCCTGTTCCCCTCCTCCACCGTCCCCTGCTCCTCCTGCTCCTCCCACTCCTTCCACTCTCCAATTACTGCTGCTGCCCTTCGACCTCGTCCTTCTTCTTCCACATCCTCCTCCGTTGCCTCCTGCTCATCATCCTGCTTACCCGCCTTCTTCTCATCCTCCTCTTCCTCAGATTGTGCATAACACGATGATGCCTTTTTTTGTCAGAGTTCCAGGTCTGCTACGACACCCGTCCGCGAATGGGGACACAATCAGCGCAATGGGAAGGGATGGGAGGGCGGGACAGGATGTCAAATCTGGCGCGAGTGCACCCAGCTTGCCCAATCCCCCTCCTTCGTCCGACCCAATCGCAAAACCATCGAAGCCCAAGAAACCCACTGCATAATATCCGGGGCGGGATGGACCTCTGTGGCGCCCCGGCAGAGGCCCGAAGCAGGATAAAAAACGCCGCTTCGACAGGAACGCGTTTCTCTTGAGACGCGCCCACGCAGGAAGGGCGAGGTCCGGCCCAAGAGGTCTCGAGTCGGGACTTCGGCAGAGCCATACGAGCTTCGTTCGCAGCACACTGTTTTACCTTTCCAAGAAGCGAAAGGGCTGACTGGCAAAAACACGACACGAGGGCTCCAAAGTATTTTCGCACTGGAAGGCTAAGGGGACAGCATCACTCTTACACGCACTGTGAATCATAAAATGAGATTTGAGCCCTTGCAGCATCAGCGAGTCGCAGAGACCGAAAGTGGGCCTGAAGATGCACCCGAGAATGAGCGAAATATGCGGCCGAAAAAGCCCGAACGTGCCCGAATGCGACAGAAGAAACATTCCGGAAGCCAATGCTCCAAGACTTCATCGATGTTGGTTTTCGCAACGTGGCTCCTTCCCAAATGTCTGGACCATTCCCTGGGTCCGGCTTTCCGTCCTAAGTAGTTTCTGACGGTCCCAGTGCCCCATGAGGCCCCTGCGAGGCCGAGTCTGCAAAAACCCTCCGACGTGATTTTTCGCCACAACTCAAAGATGTCGGGACGTTGTCTCCGATTCCAGTCGCAGATTCGGTCACGCTACGTATTTGTCCCTGGCTCAGGGCCCGCTTCCTGGCCACAGAGCTTCTCGGGGCGCGGACTTGTTTCAACTAATCGGGGAAAAGAGGCACGGAGCATTGCTCTTTCACTGGAGGCCTTCCTCACTGGAAACCGAGGAGGTAGGGTCGGCGGATCGCGCCGCATCGCCGATGCATCGACGACGCCTCGGCGACGTCGGCAATGCGTCGGCGCAGACCAGCATGGAGAAAATTGGCCTCCACATCGAGCCGCATCGACAATGCATCGGCGATGCGGCATGACCTTCCGACCCCCTCTACTCGAACCCACTGAGGAGGCCCGGATTGGAGAAGGGGGTCATGGAGCCCAAACACTTTTTTCGTAAGCGGCCAGGCGGCGAAATCCGCACTGGCGTAACAGCTAAGTGGGGGGTACCGAACTCTTTCCCCTCCAAACGAAAGTGCGCGGATGGGGGGGGCAACATGCTTCTGGCGCGTGCGCGCGGGGCATATGTTTTCACGTGTCCACGGGGCCCCATGGGGACCCATGTTGGTGGTGGCGAATGCTTCGCAGGTAAAATTACGTGCGCGGAAAGGGGGGTGCCCAACGGAGGGGGGGGGGCACAAAATGCGCATGGCGCGTGCGCGCGGTGCACATGTTTTCACATGTTTCGGGCAACGACGGGGCCGAAGGCGAGAGACCCACATTGGGGTTGCCGAATTCAGTCCCCGCTAAACATACGTGCTCGGAGGTGGGGGTCAACATGCGGCACTGACTAGCGAATTGGCCGGCGTGCAAGGAGGGAGGGGGGAGGCCGACGAGGAGTCAGGGAGCATGGGGCCCAAACGCCCGACGTCGTGACTGTTGTCGCAACGCGGACCCCCGGAGACCTCGACCGTTCCCTGGACCAGCTCCTCATCCCGAGTCGTTCTGTTGACCGTCCTATAGGGCCCGGCGAGGGCACCCAGGGGCCGAACATTGCAGAAACCGTCCGTCTTTTTTTTTTTCGACGCAAGGGGGGCACTCAGAGCACAGCTGGGGTTGTTCAGGGAATGGTGGGGTCAGAATGTGATACCAAGGTGGGTTGTACCTGGCCTACCTAGTTCACAAAGTGGGTTAGAAGGGCCCCAAATAATTCGGAGTAGTTAGGCATCTCCGCAAAATGGGCGGAGCCCTCTCAGACCGGATCTGCACCCTCCCACCCGCATCACTTCAGGCATTTGCAACCCACTTACAAGCTGAATTAGGCCAGACATCACCACCCTTGGCATCCACTTCTAAACCCCCTTATCCCCTTAGCAACCCCAGTGGTGTTCTCAGCATGGGAGCACTGGTCCCTCACTGCCCGGGGAGCGAGGCCTCTGGGTGGCGACATCCGAACCGTACCGTCATCAACCGTCGATTCTCTTGAACCGATGGGAGGCGGGGGGAAGGCTCGGACCTAGCCAAGTGTTCGACCGAATTCCGAACCCCACCAACGCCGCCCATCGAATTGCCCGAATCGTTGATCAGCGAGGGTAGAAGAGCGTCTCTAATCTTTCTGCGGTGACACGCGTTATCCGGCAGGGGGGGAAGGGGGGAGATGCTGGCCGATAACCTAACAGTTCCCCTTTGGCCAGCCCCACGCATGCCCGCGCGCACCAGCTCTGCGCACCCCCGTCGGAACTGCACAACCAACACGGTCGGGATATCCAGGGGGGAGGGGGGTACGGGCGGGTCCGACAACCCTGGTTGTCGCCAGACCCCAAAAACACAGCCTCTATATATCCCCGCCGCCCATCGAGATGCCTGCATCGTCGATCCGCGAGGGCAGGGCTCGGGTAGGGGGCCACATGCGAACCCTACCCCTACCCCCCACGATTTCTGAGGGGGAGGGTGGGGTTCACTTCGCTCGAGAGCTCCCGAGCGAAGTGAACCCCACCCTCCCCCCCAGAAATCGTGGGGGGTATGGGGTAGGGCTCGCATGTGGCCCCCGATCGGACCTCGCCGCCGAGACCCCCCCCTCGGGAGACCCCGCCGTCGCTGCCGCCACCTCTGGACGCGGAGCCCCGCCGGGCCGCCTCCACGCCGCCGCCGGCGTCCGGCGCGTCCACCCCGTGGTTGAGGTAGTTGCCCACCCGGAGGACCTCGGCAGCCAGGGGCTGCGCCCACCCACGACGATCGTCGAGGTTACCGGTCTGGGGGGGAAGATGAGGCGAAGGCGATGAGGATTGCATGATGCGTCTGGCTCACGGGGGTACCGATACCGCTACTCCCTGGACCTCTCCCCGGGTGCGTTCTGGCAAGAATGTCGAAGCGGATCCAGCGGTGGCGACGAGGGCCTCCCGGGAGGCCCCAAGAGGGGGAAAACGAGGGAAGGGCAGCGGTCTGGGTTACCCTTCCCTTCTCTGAGCTCAGGCTACGCTCCAGGAGTTCCAGAGCATCCAGCGGCCCTCGCTTCTGCAGCCCACCCGGAGGGCCTCCGCAGCCAGGGGCCGCGCGCCGCGCCCGCGAGCGAAGGCCGTCGAGGTCTTCCTCAGGCGGCCAGGCCACCGGGGGCAGGCCTTCTCAGAGGTCGGCGGGGATCCGCAGGAGCCCCCGCACACCTTCTGAGAAGCCGCCCCTCCTCCTCCTCCTCCTCCTCCTCCTCCTCCTCCTTCTTCGTCTCCTCCTCCTCGTCCCCCTCTCCTCCTCCTCCTCCTCCCTCCTCCTCCTCCTCCTCCTCCTCCTCCTCCTCCGCCGTTTCTAAGAAGCCCCGCTGCCTTCTGAGAAGGCCTGCCCCCTCGCACTTCCCCCCTGGCGCGCCGCCGTTGCTCGTCTAATCAGAACAGTGAACTCCAGACGATAGCGATGTCGTGATGCGACTGGCTGAGGACACGCTGCAGGGGTTCCAGAGCATCCGGCGGTCCTCGCCTCTGCAGCCCGTATGGAATCTGGAGTCTTGGAGACCTTGGAAACCATGAAAATCTTGGGAACATCCTGGAGACGCCGACCCTGGACGGGCCCGTCCTGGGGGCAGGGTCGGTGCATACGCCCTCCTGGCTCGACCAGGGAGCCAGGTGTACCGATCCTGTGCTCAAGGTGATACTAGAGCTTCGCGCGCTTAGGTTCTAGTCAGAGGTGATTCAGGGCTGCCCGTCACCACGGTGAATTCCAGCACGCCGTATCTCTGACGAGCTCGGCCGGGACCGTGAAGTCATCATACACTGCTTCCGTCGCCAACATTGGTCTCAACCACGCATCTTCGCGCTCGCTTAGGTTTTACCGCAGACGTACCCGATTGCAAACTCGACTTTGGACGACGCGGCGACGACGACGGCAGCCGCTGGAAAATTCGAAGGTGCATCACGGCGGATCTCGAGGGGCGCCCACGAGGCCTCCAGAGCCGTCTGGGGCACCTTTTGGGCAGTCTCGGCACCCGCTTGGGGGCCTTTGAGGCCGTCTTGGGGCGATATTTGCGGCTTCCTGGGCCGTCTTGCTCCAAGCCGAAAAGGTAAAAACTCCCAAATCCTTCAAAACTGAAAGGACAATCCATCACGTGTACCTCTTGAGCACCTCTTGGAAGGCCTTTGGGGGGGCGTCTTGGAGCGTCTTGGAAGCCTCTTGGACCTTCTGGAAGCCATCGTCCGCGTCTTGGAGTGGAATTTCGGAGATTCTCTGCCCTCTTGGAGCCTTTGGGGGCCTCTTGGGACCCTGGTGTCCTGTTTTGGTGGCTGTCTTGTGCCGTCTGGGGGCGTCCCCGGAATCCCGGGACGCACGTAGAGGGCCTTTTTCGGTCATCTCGGCGGCCGCTTGGGGGCCTCTGAGGCCGTGCAGGGGCCATACTGGGGGCGTCTAGGACCGTGCTGGAGCGTCGTGAAGCCGACAGTGGAGAAACGCTGAAATCCAACAAAAACCTCAGGATCATCAATGAATGTTGCCTCCTGGGGCCCCCTTGAAAGGGCCTCTTGGAGCTTCTTGGGGCGTGTTGGAGGCCCCGTGGGCCGTCCGGAAGCCATCGTGGGCGTCTTGGAGCGGCGGGACGTCCGCGACTCTCGGCCCTCTTGGAGCCTTTTGGGGCCTCTTGGGATCTCGCACACATCATCGATCATCTTCCCTCCCCATCAACAGTTCTCCTGCTCCACATCCCTCCTTCTCGCCCATCCCGCGTCCTCCTCCTCCTCCTCCTCAAACTGTGTAGGCTGGTGGTCGACACGCTCTAGCCAATGCTTCGATCCCCGAGACAGCGGTTGCCAGCGGGAGGCATTGCGGCACACAGCGCGACGACGTTCAGCATGAATCGCAGCGAGGTAAAAAGGGCGAATACAGGTATGAACACTGCGCGCCCACGTGTCGTGACTCATGCCGCTCTTGTACCGCAGCTTTCCTCCTGCATGCGGGTGGCAGGCCCCCCACCACCAACAGCAGCGGCAGCGGCTGGCAAATGATGGGAGATGAGGCATTATGCCTGCCCTGGGGACCGTCATGAAGACGCGACGCAGCGCTGCGCTGCTTCGGACCTCTGCTACGGGCGAGAGAGCACAGGCGAAGCACCCCACTATTCCTATGTGCTGCATGCTCTTCTCCAAATCCTGCTATCGGCGCTATCGGATTATACTAGCGCTGTCAGGTTCCGCCTTTGCTATCGGCGCTGCCGGCTGCTACCTCTGCTGTCTGCACACTGCCGTCGGCGCTATCGGCTGCTACATCTCCTTCTTTATCCGTTCCCGTCTCCATACCTGCGGTTCGGATCTGGTCCCTGGCAGCCGACACACTCCTTGGCAGCGCTCTTCTACACCCCCCTAGCAAATCCGAACTCGAAGCACGCACGCAGGGAGGGAGCAAGGGGGGAGGGGCGAGGAGGGGAGGAGGAGGATCCCTGATCCCGGATCCCCGATCCTCGACCCACGAGCGAAGCCTCGATCCTTCGATCCTTCGACCCTTCGATCCTTCGACCCTTCAACGTCGACCCTTCGATCCTTCGACCCTTCGACCCTTCGATCCTTCGACCCTTCAACCCTTCGAAGCCCCGGTCCTCGACCCCTCGACCCTTCGACCCTTCGATCGTCGACCCGTCGATCCTCGATCCCTCGGTGCGCAACGCCGCCCCCATCGATCCTTCCATCCTCGATCGCCAATCGCCGCTCCTCGATCCCTGGATCCCTCGCTCCTCGCTCCTTCCATCCTCGACCCCTGGATCCTCGACCCCTCGATCCTCGATCCGATCCGCCGCCCCCCAAGTCGGGGGCGGCGGGGCGGGCGGCGGGGAGGGCCTGCGAGCAGGCCGCCAGCAGCGCCCGCACCCGCTCGAGCAGCCGGCCGTGGAGCTCGGGCACGCGCTTGCCGAAGATGATGCTCTGGAGCCGCGCCTCCGCTCCGTGGCTCGGCCCACTCGACCTACTCCTCTGCCTCCCCTCACAGTCCCCCCTCCCTCCTCCTCCTCCTCCCCCTCCTCCTCCTCCTCCTCCTCCTCCTCCTCCTTCTCCTCCACCTCCTCCTTCTCCTCCACCTTTTCCTGTTCCTCCTCCTCCTCCTCCTCCTCAGCCTCCTCCTCGTCCTCCTCCTCCTCCGCCTTTTCCTGTTCCTCCTCCTCCTTCTCCTCAACCTCCTCCTCCTCCTGCTTTTCGTGTTCCTCCTCCTCCTCCACCTCCTCCTCTCCCTTCAATTCCTCCTCCTCCTCCTCCTCCTCCACCTCCTGCAGTTCCGCCTCCTCCTCCTCGTATTACTCGTATTATGGTTGTGCTTCTTATTGCCATGATTAGCATGATCTTGCTTCTTATACTTATCAGTATGTGTATTATCATTCACATTGAATCTCGCATTATGATTCGCAGTATTCTTCTCATTAGTGTTATTAGTTTATTATTGGTATCCGTCTTCTTATTATGCTTATTTGTATGCATCTTACTTCTAGTATTATTGTTATTCGTCCTCGCCTCCTCCGCGTCCCCCTCCTCCTCCTCCTCTTCCTCCTCCTCTTCCTCCTCCTCCTCCTCCACCTCCTCTTCCTCTCCCTCCTCCTCGTCCTCCTCCTCCTCCTGCTCCTCCACTTCCTGTTCATCCTCCTCCTCTTCCTCCTCTTCCTCCTCCTCCACCTCCTCCTCCTCATAATCATCCTCCCCATCCTCCCCCTCTCCCTCCCCCTCCTCCCCCTCTCCTCGTCCTCCTCTTCCGATCAACAACAACATCATCATCATCATCATCATCATCATCATCATCATCATCATCAGCATCATCATCAGCAGCCGCAGCAGCAGCAGCAGCAGCATCGTCATCATCAGCATCATCCTCAGCATCAGCATCAGCAGCATCAGCATCATCATCATCATCATCATCATCATCGTCGTCGTCATCATCATCACCATCATCACCATCACCATCGTCGCAATCAGCATCATCATCAGCATCATCACCTTCAGCAGCATCAGCATCATCATCATCATCATCATCATCATCAGCAGCATCACCATCATCATCATCATCATCACCATCATCAGCATCATCATCATCATTATCAGCATCAGCACCATCATCACCAGCAGCGTCATCAGAAGCAACATCATACTCATCAACAGCATGATCATCATCATCATCAGTATCATCATCATCATCATCACCATCAACATCATGATCGGAAGCAGCATCATCATCGTCGTCATCATCAGCATCACCATCATCAGCATCAGCATCATCAGCCTCACCGTCGTCACCGTCATCATCATCATCAGCATCATCATCAGCAGCATCATCGTAATCAATATCGTCACCACCATCATCATCATCATCATCATCATCAGCATCATCACAATAATAGTCATCGATATCACCATCATCATCATGATCAGCATCATCCTCATAATCAGCATCGCCGCCATCATCATCAACAGCATCAGCATCAGCATCCGCATCATCATAATCAGCATCATGATAATCATCGTCAGCATCATCGTTCCCATCTGAATCATCAGCAGCATCTGCATCAGCATCAGCATCATCATCATCAGCAGCATCAGCATCATCATCATCAGCAGCGTCGTCATCACCTCCATCTTCATCAGCATACACATCGGCATCAGCATCGTCATCATCATCAGCAGATTCATCCTTATAAGAAACATCAGCAGCATAGTCATCATCCTGATAAGCAGCCGCATCAGCATCATCATCAGCATCAGCATAATCGTCGTCGTCATCATCGTCATCATCATCAGCGTCATCAGCATCATCGCCAGCAGTATCACCATCATCATCATCATCAGCAGCAGCCACATCATCATCATAAGTACCATCAGCAACGTCATCAGCATCGTCATCATCAGCATCAGCATCATCATTTTCATCATCATCCTCATCTTCATCCTCGTCATCATCATCATCATCATCAGCATCATCAGCATCAGCATCGTCATCATCACCATAATCATCAGCAGCGGCAGCATCGGCACTAGCAGCAGCATCACCATCATCACTACCAGGATACACCCATCACAACCATCAGTCCCCTCTCTTCCACAACACCTGACTCCCTTCTTCCTACGCCTCATCATGCTCCTCACGTTCCGCATGGTCATCCTCCTACTGCACGTCCCCCTCCTCATCCTCTTCCCCCCCCCGTCAACATCGTTATCATATTCGTCGCCATCACCGTCTGAGCATCATCCTCATCCACATGATAGCCCTCGTCATAGCGTCGTCGCCACAATCCTCATAATCAGCATCATCAGCATCATCAGCATCGCCATTAACATCATCATCATCAGCATCATCAACATTGACGTTGCCATGCTCATCCTCATCAACATCCCCATCCTCGTCATCAATATCATCAACAGCACCAGCATTAAGCGCTTAATCATCGTCGTCAGCATCAGTATCAGTGTCATCATCGTCGTCATCATCATCATCAGCATCATCATCATCATCATCATCATCATCAGCATCATCATCGTCACTGGCATCGCCGTCATCATCAACCATCGTCAATCATCACCGTCATCATCAGCATCATCATCAGCATCAGCATCCGCATCACAATCGTCGTCGTCGTCGTTGCCGTCGTCGTCCTTCTCCGCCGAATCCTCTTACGTCTCCTCCTCCTCCTCCTCCTCCTCCTCCTCCTCCTCCTCCTCCTCCTCCTCCTGGTCATCATCATCAGCATCAGCAGCAGCAGCAGCCTCGCCCTTTTCCTCCTCTGGGGCCGCGCCGTTCTCTGGGGCTCGATACCACCAAACCCCGAAGCTCGGAACCGAGCCTCGCTCGATACGTTCAGATCGATCTTCGCGACGTACTCGATCCTCGCTTCTCGATCCTCGATCCTTGAACCTAGAACCTCGATCCTCGATTCATGAAACCTCCTCATCCTCCTCTTCCTCCGACTCCTCCCCTTCCTTCTCCTCCGCCTCCTCCTCGGCCTCCCCATGTTCCTCCTGCGTTGGCGCCGCGCTTCCGCTCCGTCCCTCGCTCGAGCCTGGAAGCCTGGGGACACCTCCAGGGTCGAGCCTCGATCGATCCTCGCTCATCGAGACCTCGAACCTCCATGCTGGAATCTCGATCCTCGATCGCCGAGACCTCCTCTCCTCCTGCTGCTCATCCTCCTCCTCCTCGTCGCCCTCCTCCTTCACAGCATCACCATCACCCAGCCATCATCAGTCACAATCATTCGCGGCATCGCCATCCTCATTGCCGTCGTCAGCATTATCATCACCATCATCATCAGCATCATCAGCAAGAACAGCATCATCAACATCACCATCATCAGCATCAGCAGCATCATCATCATTATTATCATCATCATCATCATCATCATCATCATCATCATCATCATCATCATCATCGTCATCGTCATCGTCATCGTCATCGTCATCCGCATCGTCATCATCAGCATCAGCGTCATAATCATTCCCGTCGTCATCATCACCGTTGTCATCTTCAACAACAGCACCATCGTCATCATCGTCGTCATCGTCATCATCATCATCATGCACATCATCATCATCATCATCATCATCATCATCATCATCATCATCATCATCATCGTCATCATCATCAACATCATCATCATCGTCAGCAGCATCATCATTACCGTCATCAGCATCGTCCTCGTCATCGTCATTGTTATCGTCACCGTCAACATCATCATCAACAGCAGCAGCATCATCAACATCCTCAGCATCGTCCCCAGCAGGATCCGCATCATCATACAGCATCATCAACGTCAGCAGTATCATCCTCATCATCCTCATCATCATCAGCATCATCATCACCGTCCCCATCATCATCCTCATCATCCTACTAACCCCGCATCCGAAATGATAATTCCATGGGAGTGATAAAGTCCTGGACCCTGGGACGATGCTAAACTGCTGTTTCCCTGAGATATAGATGTTGGGATGCCTGAGCACGAGTCCTGTGAAACACTATGGTATACTGATGCCCTGGCTCCCTCTTGGGGGGCCTCCCTAAGGTATGAAAGAAGAACGGGAACTGTGAAATACTATGGCGCACTGGAACGGAACCCCTTCAGATGTGCGATTCGATGAGCTATGATTGGAACTTCGCCCCGGGATAAGTTCGCCATCCCCGCCTCCCCGCCTCTTGTGCCATATACAGGCCGCAGGGAATAAACATAGACGACCCCAAGGGGGGGACTCACTATGGTCGCGAGGACGCGGTTAAGCATCATCATCCTGACCGGCACCATATTCACGAACATAACGATCATGAACATGTTCACCATCATCACCATGCTCCACACTGAAACGGCAATCCCTGTACATACTGACACGCAACCTCGCGACGCTCTCGCCGACCTCCGCCCAGCGAATCAGCAGTTCAAGCGGCAAGGGGCTCCTCGACATCGTCGTCACCATCATCATCACCATCATCATCACCATCATCATCATCATCATAAACATCGTCATCGTCACCGTCGTCATCATCATCATCATCATCATCGTCATCATCATCATCATCATCATCATCATCATCATCATCATCATCATCATCATCATCATGGTCATCATCAGTAGCAGCAGCAGCATCGCGATCATCAGCATCAGCATCATCACCACCATCAAGACATCATCATCATCAGCATCAGCAGCATCATCAGAATCATAACCAGCATCATCATTATCATAGTAGTCAGCATCATCAGCATCAGCACCCTAATCATCATAAGCATCGTCAGCATTATCATCATTATCATAATCACAAGCATCGTCATCATTGCCATCATCATAAGCATCATCATCGCAAAAAGCGGCATCGTCGTCATCATCAACATCACAGTAAGCATCAAATCATCAGCATCATCACCATCATCAGCATCATAGTAACCAGCAGTATCAGCATCCGCATCATCATCATAATCAGCATCATCGTCAGCATGATCATCATCATCAGCATCATCATCATCGTGATCTGCATCATTATCCATCAACATCATCATCGTCATCGTCAGCACCATCAACAGCATCCATAACATCATTATCAGCATCACCATCATCACCAGTGTAAACAGTATCATCCTCGTCATCGTCACTACATTCATCATAACTACCAGCGCCATCATCAACATCATCAGCATCGTCATCATCATCAAAAGCATAAGCAGCATCATCAGCATCATCAGCATTGCCATCATCATCATTGTCATCATCGTCATCGGCAGCAGCACCACAGTCGTCATCATTTGTATGATCAGCGTCATCATCAGCAGCATCATCGTCATCATGAGCATCATCATCGTCAGCAACCTTGTCAGCATAATCCTCTTTGTCAACGTCATCATCAGTTTCATCATCGTCAACGTCATCAGTATCATCAACAGCAGCAGCATCACCATCATCACCGTCATCCTGTTCGAATGCATCATCACAATCGCCGACAAAATCGACAACGTCATCGTCATCGTGATCATCATCATCATCATCATCACTATTACCATCGCCATCACCATCAGAATCGTCATCACCACCATCATCGCCATCCTCATCACCAGCATCATCATCAGTATCAGTATCATCAGCATCAACATCAGCATCGTCTTCGCCGTGGTCGTCACCATCAGCATCATCATAATCATCATCAGAATCAGCATCATCAGCGTCAGCATCATACGCATCATCACCATCAGCAGCAGCATCATAATCAGCAGCATCATCAGCAGCATCATCAGAATCGTCACCATGACCATCGCCAACATCATCGTCGTCATCATCAACGTCATGGTTCTCCTCCTTCTCCGCCTCCTCCTCCTACTGCTCTCCACCCTAACGCGGGCGACACACTACTGGAGAAGCACCGCGGCGGGAGATCCTCGATCCCCGGCCCTCGAAGCCTCGAAGCCTCGAACGGCGGCGGCCAGCATTGAGGAGTGAGATCGGATCGGATCGGACCGCGCGTGGGAACGGGGCTTCCTTGGCCAACTACTTGTCTCACCTGCGTTTTGTTTTGGGGCGGCTGCAGAATAGTACTGGTGCTAACACCGGTACATCACGTCATGTCAAAGCGTCAGCGTTTTGAGGCCGATGGTGGTGACCAGTTCGTTACGGCTCCAGTGCAGGACCTCTCAGGTAGCTGATTGGATTGTATGCTGTCCCGCAGTGGCAAAACGCACTCCATGGTTTCTGTTGTCCTGCATATCTACCCGTGTCATGTTCATTGCATAAAACGGAATGTATTCTGTCACTGCGGGAATGACAGCAAAAATCGTACCCTGTGAAGGTGGTACCACATCTGCTAGCCGTACTGGTAGGTCTGGCATACCTCCGTGTCAGCTGCAAGCCGCCGCATTGACAGGTCAACTCGTGCCAGGGTTTGTTGCAGAAGTACCGCCTCCGCATCAGATTCGGCAACTCCGACGGTTGTGATCTACATAGGGTGTGGCTTGGGTACCCGCACCCTTGGGGGTGGGCGAGGACCTCGACAGAGTTCTCCGCCGCGCCAGGAGGCGGCCCGACGAGGGCAGCGTGGTGCCCCCCAAGCCACAGCGGTTCAGATCGCAAACCACATCCCAGCGAAACCCCGGGCGTCGCGCAGTGGGCCCTGGAGGACCCCCTCGTCTCCGCCTTCTCTTCCTCCTCCTCCCTCCTCCTCCTCCTCCTCCTCCTCCTCCTCCTCCTCCTCCTCCTCCTCCTCCTGCTCCTCCTCCTCCTCCTCCTCCTCCTCCCCATCCTCCTCCTCATCATCATCAGCATCATCAGCAGCATCATCAGCATCAGCATCATCATCATCAGCAGCATCATCATCAACAACATAATCATCATCATCAGCATCACCATCATCATCGTCATCAGCATCATCACCATCATCATCATCAGCATCAGCAGCATTAGCATCAACATCCGCGTCATCATCAGCATCATCATCATCCTCATCATCATAAGCATCAGCATCATCATCAGCAGCATCATCAGCAGCATCATCATCATCATCAGTACCATCACCACCACCACCATCACCATCATCAGCATCATCATCAGCAGCAGCATCATTAGCATAATCAACAGCATCATTAGCAGCAGCATCATCATCAGCATCATCAGTATCAGCATCATCATCATCAGCATCATCAGCAGCAGCAGCATCACCAGCAGCATGAGCATCAGCATCATCAGCATGATAAACATCAGCATCATGCTTCTCCTCATGCTCCTCATCATGAACCTCGCGCTCCTCCTCCTCCTCCTCCTCCTCCTCCTCATCCTCCAACCATTGTTCCTCCTCCCGCCCCCTCTCCTCTCGTTTCCCCTCCTCGCACTCCATCGCGCCGCGTCGTCGTCGTCCTCCTCTCCTCCTTCTTCTTCCCGTACTTCTCCTCCTCCTCCTCCTCCTCTTCCTCCTCCTCCTCCTCATCCTCCTACTCCTCCTCATATTCCTCCTCCTCGTCCTCCTCTTGCTCCTCCTTCTCCTCCCCCTCGTCCTACTCCTCATCATTACTCCCCTCGCCCCACCTACCCTCCCCTCCCATCCTCCTCCCTCCCCCTTCTCTGAAGCCGCGCAGCGTCGTCGCCCTCCTCCTCCTCCTCCTCCTCCTCCTCCTCCTCCTCCTCCTCCTCCTCCTCCTCCTCCTCTTCCTCCTCTTCCTCCTCTTCCTCCTCTTCCATCTCTTCCACCTCCTGCTCCTGCTCCTCCTCCTGCTCCATTCCTTTTCCGTTTACATAGCTCCTCCCTGTCGCACCCCGAGGCCAGTTTGTTTGGGCGGGCTGGGAATTTCGCCTGAGACTCCCTCACCCTTCGTGGCCTTAAACTTGAAAGTTGGCAACCGTTTCACATATGTAGGGCGGCCATTTTCAAAACGTGGATCTCGCCTTAGCGCCGCGCCCATTCGTTCTAAACATTCGGAAGGGTTCCACGGATTGAGGGCGGGTCGTTTTCAAAATGTGGCTCTCGCCTTAACGCCGCGCACATTCGCTGTTAAACTTTATAAGAGCTCCACGGGTTGAGGGTGGGCCGATTTCAAAATGTGGCTATCGCCCGAGCGCCGTGAACATTCGTCTTACAACGGGCAAAGAGGTTTCACGGATTGAGGGCAGGTCGTTGTCAAAATGTGGCTCTCGCCTGAGCGCCGCGCACTTCTGTTTTGAAAAAAATGCAAAACGGGTTTCACGGATTGAGAGCGGTTTCGTTTCAAAATGTGGCGCTCGCCTTAGCGCCGCGCACATTCGTTATGATACGTTGTAGGAGTTTCACAGGTGCCCATGCTCAGCGTACCAGGTGGTGTGTTGGGATGATTCAAGATTATGAGGGCGGGGCACTTACATTGATTCGCGGAGTTGAAGTCCCAAGAATGGCGTTCTGGTACGGTTCAGTATCGTCAAGACACAACAATTAGGTTGGTCCGTGGCGTTGGAATCCCGAGAACCATGTTTTGCCATGATTCAGGGTCTTCAAATGGTTGTCTTCCAACGAGGCAGTTCCCTGAGTGGAAGTGAACCGTTGTGGGGGCCTATGAAGAGGGAGCTTGGAGGGAGGGCTTATTCCAACATCGTTGATGACTCTTGGGCTCGCACTGGTCCTCCTCCTCCTCCTCCTCCTCCTCCTCCTCCTCCTCCGTGCTCCAGATCGCGCGGCACCGTTGGTGCATCGACGGTGCGGCGCGATCCTCCGATCCCGTCGGTTCTGGCCATGTTCGGGCGGCAGGTGTTTCTGGTCGAGCTCGGCGAGACGGTGGCACGCCAGAGGAACAGCCTGAGGCGTTGGGAAGCGGAACCGTCCACTACTTCCTCAAGTCGGACGGTCTAAAGCGCCGGAGGAACCATGCTACCATTCGCTGCCCACTGGGCTGACGTGCTCTCTACTAGGCTGACGAACTCTCCAACTGATGAGCGCAGCACGGAGGGTAGAGTCGAAAGGATGGGATAAGGAGAGAGCATGGCAGTGAGAGGGCAGAGAGTGGGCTGAGCACTGGAGAGCAGCAGTGGAGCCTGCCGAGCGACATCAAAGCAAGAAAAGATAAGGCATAATGTGCTCTCAAAATACACGTGTCCGCCAGTCGCATCGTGCATTGGGTGTAAGCTCGGAGCAAAACTGCAAGCGCACACCGTGCACTATGAGCATGGCCACCTATGCGATGACGGCGGCACTGAGGCAAGCCTGAACGAGCAGCTTGAGTTTGGCTGCAGGACGACGGACACCGTGAAGGCACTCACAGTGAGACAAATCAGGTCGCACTCATGGCTGAGGTTTCCGGCGGACATCAGCTGAGCCACCTCTCCGATCCCGGCCAGGCCCATCCTGGGCCCGCCCCGTCTCGGTGAGGTGGTCAGCTGACGCACCCCGGCATTCGTCGTGGAAGCGCGTCAGGATGGGAAGCCTGTCGGGAGGACACCGCATGCGGGGCGGCCGATCACGCAACAGACCTCGAGAAGCACGGCCGCCGAAGCCTGCGTGATAAGCTCCCGGCGGCGGCCTCGTGCTCCTGCGTCGAGCACGACTCCCATGCAGCTCACCTCTCGATCCCACAGCCCTTCCGTCCCTCCATGGAAACGTGTGGGCCATTGGGCGAAAGGTGGTCCCCGCCGACAACAAGCTTGAAATCTCTTCAAACGGTACTTTACTCCGTCTGGCAGAGGAACGGGTGCGCCGAAGGGGGGGCCAGGACGGGGAGGGCCCGGCGCACGTGCGCAGATCGGTGGGGGGCCAGGGGTCCTGCTGAGAGGAGGAGAGGGCGTCATGACATCTGGGCGATGGTATGAGCCTGGCAACGACATCCTACACACACACACACACACACACACACACACACACACACACGCACATTTTTCTCCAGAGCGGCGAGATGGCGGCACAGTCGCGATCACTTCGCCGAGTTCCGCCTGGCATAGCAGGTGGGTGGACTGGATGAGGCAGTCGCGTGCAGAAATAAGGCGCCGAAGTGCGGCATGCACGTGGAAGATGCCGACGAACGGCCATGCAGTGTGCGGACGGATGAGGCCGAGCGTCACTTGGCTGACAAATGGCAGGAACCGAAAGAGAAGGCACCGTGGGTGAGAGCGCAGAGAGAGCGTGCAAGCCGAAACATCTGTTGGCGTGGGGAATGCGTGTTATCGATCAGGCGCAGCCCAGCTCTAAGGGTGCGACAACTGAGATACCCAAATAAGTCCAGCAATGCACGGTGAAAAAAGGGGGGGCGGGCCAGAAGCCAAGCCACCCGAAACGGATTGCAGCAAGGAGCGAGCCGGCCCGAAGACCGTCTCGATGCGCAGTGGAGCTGCCCGTGGCAGCGCAGAGCAGCCCCATGGCAGCGCAGAGCAGCCCCAGAGCAGCTGCCCATGGCAGCGCAGAGCACACCTGGACGAGGGCCGAAGCCGTGGCAAGCCTGGGCCGGCGCCAGCCACGCGAAAGAGCAAGAACAGAAGAAGTACTGGCCAGTGCCCAGGCGTCGGCGCTGGGCACCAACAGGCGCGGGCAACGGATGCGACCGGCCGCCCGAAGGCGAGACAGGCCCCAAAGGCCCACAGATACACATACACGTTGTTCCCCGCCGGCTGGTCCAACACAGCGATAGCTTCGCGAGGCCGCGAGTGAGAATGACCACCAAACATTGTCGATGGGGGGCGCTGTACGCCCAGTGGAGGGAAAGGTGGCATGCGCGACCATACAGCGCCAACAGGCGGAGGCGCAAGAAGCGAAAGGGGCTGTACAACACGGTGACACCACAGACACACACACAGACAGACAGACAGACAGACAGAGAGACAGACAGACAGACACACAGGCAGACAGACAGACAGACAGACAGACAGACAGACAGATAGACAGACGGACCGACAGACAGACAGACAGACAGACAGACAGACACACAGACAGACAGACACACAGACACACAGACAGACACACACACACACACACAAACACACACACACAAACAAACTTTTGCATTGGCAGCCATGTGCGCAGAACGGGCCTAGGGAGCAGAGAGAGCGGAAAGAAAAGACAGACTAGGAGAGGCAGCAGCTGGAGCGGCAAGAGCAAGAGGACAGAATAGGAGCCGCCACACACGAACACACACACACAAAACAAAAACACTGCGCGTCGCGGGCGGGGCAAAAAAAACAAAAAAACGCTCGGCCGATAGATAGTAACGAGCCCGGCTACTGAACCCAGGGAAAAAAAGAAGACTCACACGATGCAGGATAGGCCGCACGCCGTTCATAATTAGGATTGCGAGGGGCTGGCGGGGCAAGCGCAAGGAGAGCGCACACACACACACACACAGACACACACCTAGCCCTCACTCCCCCCTTCGACGCCCCCGAGAAAATGTGTGAAGAAGGCTGATGCGCACTCACCCCGAGCGGTTCACTCAGGAACCGCACGGAGCAGGGAGAGAAAGGAGCGAAGAGAGGGGCCGCGAGCACGGGAGGCTCGGCGAATCGGCGCTGCTTGTGATGCGCAGCACAAGCGTCATCACAGCGAAGCCAAAGAGGCGACGGGAAGAGAAGGGCCTCTCGCGCGATGACACAGCGGCCTTACACGCCGCGGCTTACGCGGGCCGCCGGCGTGGCACGCCACAGTGGAAGCGAGGGTGCTTACGCGTGGCCTTACGCGGGAAACTTACGCTCAGGTCGGGCATGTCCCCCTACAGGCGGATGTTGGACGGAAAAATAAGCAGATTCAACAAATACACCACAATGGCCAAGCATAGTTTAAACAACTCGTCCCCCAACTATGGTTCTGGCTATCTTTAGAGATCCCCCACGCAGAGGGACATGCCCGACCCACAACTCACGCGCGCATGTCGGCGCACCGGAGCCCGCTCTCCTCCGTCGCCCAAGAGTGCGCCAGCCGCACACCGGGCGCGGGGCTCGAAACATCTCTGCCGAGCCGCAGCACGGGCCCGCAGGCGCGGCGTGGCCGCTCGGGCTCCCGTCGGCGCGAGGAACTCGCCATCGCTCGGACGTCCATTCCCTATTTTTTTTTGGTTTCGTGCGTGGTCTTTTCGCCAAATGATCAAGGATGCTCCTCGATGGCCCTCGCCGAGAGAAAAATGCACACGTCCGAGCGATGCCAAGGGAAGATCTGCCCCCTCCCCCGACGCCTCCCATGCGACGCACAGAGACATGCTAACACTACATGCCCTCCTTGGAGGCGCGCGTCCGCCCCCAACAATACAGTATACCGCTCTTGCAGTGTATCGTCTACCGAGCGGTGTGGCCGGAAAGCGCCCGCCACCACGCATATACTTTAAGATTTCTCGGTGCGCGCGGCGCCCCTGGGGTTGGGGCGACGCACACATACAGTATAAGTATGTTGGGGTAACGCCGATGGAGCTCCAGGGGGTTCGCTCCAGGGGGTTCAGGATGGAGCGATTTCAAGAAGCAGCTTCGTGTCGTGATGCCCATGCGCTGGCTTCTGACACCGCGTGGGGATCGTTCAACCTCGATTTAAGTCGGGCATGTCCTCCTATTGGCGGAGTTTGGGCGAAACTGAAATATACATATATACATATATATATACACATGTTATATGTATAGCCAAAATAACCGAAAATTCGTCCCCATACTATTTGTTGACTATTTTTGAATGCCCCTCCTGTAGAGGGACACGCCCGACTGAACGCTGGCTTCTGACACCGCGACGGCGCTGCGATCGCCAGCTGCGTCCACACTGCTCGATTAACTGGGCCACCAGCGGCGTGTTCAACCTTGGACGCCCTCGCCGCCGCGAACCTGCCGCAGAGAGGGGCCCCTCAAAGATTAACCTTCCAGCCTGTCTGGGGATGCGTTCTGGCCAGAACGTCGACGCGGATCGAGCCAAAGCCTCAATCGCAGAAATCCGACGCCGTGATTGTCATTCACGGCGTGGCACCCCAAAGGTCTGGACCCACTCCCCGGGACAAGCTTTCCGCCCCGAGCCGTTTTTGCACTGGCACCGGGGCCTGGTGAAGGGCCCAGGACGTGGAAATGGGCGAAAACCTGTGGGGTCGACCTTGAAAAAAACAGACAGGGGATTCCCATGACTTCACCCCCACCAAGAGCACCCAGGGTCGCCCCAAGAGGCCTCCTCCACGAGTCCCCCCAGGAGCTCCGGGGAAGCCCTTGAGAGAGGCCAAGCAATCGTTGAAAAACCAGTCGTGAGGGATAAAGGGGGGCGAGGAGGGAAGAGAAAAAAGGACGCAGCGGGGAGGAGGCGGGAGGGGTTGAGGGACACTCGAGCCTCGACCGCAGGAGTCCTCGGGAGGTGCTCGAGAAGGGCCTCGGGAGCCCCACGGGAGCCCGAGGCCCCCCGAGGTGGGCTCGCGACGGCACCACGGGGCGCCACGGGGCCCCGCGGGGGCCTTCGGGGAGGCCGCCAAGGCGGCCCAGAGAGCTGGCGCCAGAACGGCCTGAGGAGCCCCCAGGAAAAAAAACAAGAAGCCAAAGGCAGGCCCGACAATGCCGAATTCTGTCAACCAGTCTCACCTCTCTGACTGCGGTGATGCTGCTTTTTAAGTTCCGGCGGTGCACAGCCTCTCTGGATGGTGAAATGTGCCCAGACGACGGCCCAAGAGGGTGGGCCAGAGGTCTATGAAATGTGGCTCTCTGATCAGCGCCGCACACATTCGCCGTGAAAGCTGCAAAACGCTCAACGGATGGAAGGCCCCGTCGTTTTCAAACTGTGGCTCTCGCCTTAGCGCGGCGAGCACAGGTCGTAAAAGTTTATAATATAATTACTCGGACGGAGCGCAACTGGTCTTCGAAACGTGGCTCTCCCCTTTGCGAGGCGCACATATGTTTGGACACGTTTCGACACGCTTTCGGGACGAGGCTCCCGCGCCTTCATCAACACACGTGCAAGCCTGTTGAACTGCGACACGGATGGAGGGCGGTTCCTTTGCTGGGGATCTCGCCAAAGCCTCCAATTGATGTATTGAGTTGGGGCCCGAGTAGGTGGGATCGGAGAAGCTCGCCGCATCGCCGATACATCGTCGATGCATCGCCGATGCATCGGCGAAGCATCGCCCATGCACTGGCGACGTCGGCGATACATCCGCCACGTTAGCGCGGAGAAAATTGGGCCCCACATCGAGCCGCATCGCCGGTGCATCGCCGATGCAAACGCAGTTCCCCCCGAATTGCGGGCCCAAGTGAGCGAGGATCAGAAACGGGTCTTACGCGAGATGACATAGCGACCTTACGCGGTGGCTTACGCGGGCCGCCAGCGCGGCACGCTACGCTGGAAGCAATGGCGCTTACGCGCGACCTTACGCGAGCAGCTTACGCGCCGATGTCGGCGAAGCTGACCCCGACTTCTTCGGTCGCTCACGTAGCGCCCGTCTTTCGGATAGGGCGCTTCCCACCATGCGAGTGACTGCGCGCAGGGGCTGGCAAGGAGGGAACTCGGCACGGGGGCGTGTGTTGCAACATCGTTGATCTATCTTGGGGCTACGCTGATACATTCTCCTTATAAATAACTTCTCCCTGTCGCACCCCGAGACCGGTCGAAAGGGCGGGCCGGGCGTTCCGCCTGAGACTTCCCCACAATTCATGACCCTGAAGCTTAAGCATTGGCAACACTTTCACAGATTGAGGACGGGTGGTTTTCAAAATGTGGCTCTTGCCTTAGCGCCGCGCACATTCGTTAAACAAATTGCACGAGTTTCACGGATTGAGGGCGGTTCCTTTTCAAAATGTGGCTCTCGCCTTAGCGCCGCGCACATTTCTTCACAATTGCAAGAGTTTCACGGATTCCCATGGTCAGCGTACCAGCAATTGTACATGGGAAAGATTCAGGGTTATGAGTCAGCAGCAGTTACGTTGATTCGCGGCCTTGAAGTCCCAGGAATGGCGTTCTGGCACGATTCAAGACCGTCGAGAACCCATAGTCAAGTTAATCCGTGGCGTTGGAGTCCCGATAATAATGTTGTTGCATGCTTTAGGGACTTCAAACGATTGTCTCCCAACGAGGCAGTTACGCTCAGTGGAAATGAACCCTTGTGGGGGCCTATGAAGGAGGAGTTCGGCGGGAGGGTTTACTCCAACATCGTTGATGACTCTTGGGTTTACACTGGTCCAATTCCTCCTCCTTTTCCTCCTCCTCCTCCTCCGTCTCCTCCTCCTTCTCCTCCTCCGTATCCTCCTCCTTCGCGGGGGACAGAACAGCATCAGTGGGGAATGCATCAGCGTGTTACTGTTGAACAAAATACGAAGGAGTGACACGCCGACGGGCTCCTAACGGCAGAGTGGCATTGGTACATTTCTCCCCTCCCGATGTTTCCCTCCTCCCCTGATCTCTTCCCGAGCGTGCCAAGGGGTCGGCGGATGCGACCTCAGCCCGATTATCCGTCGTGAAGCGTGCAGGGCCTGCGCTCTCTACACGAGAAGCACCCGCAGAAAAAAAACGATCGACGAATGCGGTACCACCCCTCCCCTCTTGGGACGATGTGCACGTCGGGAGGCCAGACGGGCCAATGAGCGACATATAGAATCGGGCCTTACACGAGAAGAAATAGCGGCCCTACGCCGCGGCCTATGCGGGCCGCACCGCTACTGCCCCATCCACCCAAGAGCATCGGATACTGGATTTTGTAAGTCGCGACCGACAGCGACCGCTCAGCACTCCAAATCGGTCGCAGTCGAAAACGACAGATTCCACAATCGGTCGCGACCGGTACCGACCGATTGGTCACGACCGATCTGTCGCAGCCGACTTTGCGAGGCGGGGATTTATCCATATTCACCGCCTGGGAACCGACGTCCTGGTGCCCCAGCGGGCGGTGGATATGGATATATTTCGGCCCCCAGGAGCCCGAGTATGCCCATATCCACCGCCTGCCGAGGCTCCGAAAGCTGACCCTCCAGGCGGTGGATATGGATAAATTCCCGCCTCGGAGAAAACGACAAATTCCAGTCGGTCGCGTCCTGTCACGACCGATTGGTCGCGACCGATCTGTCGTATCCGACTTTGAAGCGAATCGGTCGCGCCCAACACAGGAAGCGAAACCGGCAGCGACCGACATCGTCGGTCCGGACCTGGGCCTGGGGAGGCGGCGGAGGAAGCAGGAGGCAGAGGAGCAAAAGGGAGAGGGACGAGGAGGACGAGGAGGAGGGGAAGGACGAGGAGGAGAAGGATGAGGAGGAGGAGGAGGAGGAGGGTGGAGGAGGAGGACAGACGAGGTCGAGGAGGGGGAGGCCGAGAAGGACGAGGCCGAGGAGGACAGCGACATCCAACGACCGGGGCCTGGCGCGCTTCCGGAGTCTGGTGGCGGGGGCCCCGCGGCGGCGGGGAGGCCGCCCACAGGGACGGCCGAGCGGTGCACGGTCCTGTGGTCCTGTGCTCCGGTCGGGCCTGTCCCCCTACAGGTGGATTTTGGACGGAGAACAAAAACAGTCAGAAAATATTTGAAAATGTATCAAAAATGCTCGAAAAATCGTCTCCTGACATGTTTTGATTACTTCTGAATCTTCCTCCTGTAGAAGGACAGGCCCGACGTGCTCCTGTGCTCGCCCGCCCTCCCGCGTCCGTGCGCAGCCGCACACAGGGCGGCAGAGGGCCGGAGAGCTCGTGGGAAGGGAGCGCGTGCCGTCGAGGTCGACTGGGGAGGGCACGCCCGAGGCCACGAAGAGCCTTCCGAAGGCCACATTGCGCTGCACCGGACTCGCAGGCGTGCTGCAGCAGAGTTCTGCGTGGATTTCCGCCCATGCAGAGCCCCGAAGAGGCGAGCGAAGAACGGAGTGAGCTTCACGTGGATCTGTTGGTAGTCTTCATTTCTGTCCGGAGCGAAATTCTCCAGGACAGTCTGGGCCCATCCCATTGTTGTCCGAACGACATCCGCTCTGCGATGTTGGCGCCATGACAAATTGCTATAGGAAAGCAGAAGGAATGGGTCGCAAAACACACGACACAAGGGCACCCCTGATTTGGCAGGGTCGCCCTACGAGTCAAACTCGACTGTATGAATATCGTTGAACCGGTGCCTATCATCACTGGCGCGGCCTTGGTTCAACTGGCCTGGCCGATTCCCCCCCCCTTGATGGGGATACATGCTGTCCCCTTCGGGCTTCGCGGGGCCTGCCCCCAGCTGGGGGGGCGGGATGGTGGGGTCTCTCCCTCTGCGCGCCGCTGGCAAAAACGCCGACGACGACGAACACAACATGTCGACGACGGCGACAACGTCAGCGGCGGCGGGGACGACACCGACAACGACGACGACGACGACGACGACGACGACGACGACGACGACGTCTCGATCCAGTTTTGGTTCAATCCGATCAGGGCTGGATCCAACTCGCAGGTAATCCTACTCAGGCTCGATCCAGCGCCAACATAATCCTACTCGGGCTTGATCCAGCACTGATGTAATCCTACTAGGACTTGATCCTGCTGGGAAAGAGTCCTACTGAAGCTGGACCCTGCTTGAATCGAATCCTACTCGGGCTCGATCAAGCACCAACGGCATCCTACAAGGGATCCATCGGGCTCGAATGACATTGCACGAGGGTTGGACCCAGGTCGATTAGGACCCTACTAGGATAGGACCCAGCTCGAATTGGATCAGTTGAACCCAGCACGGCTGGGTCCAGCCTTCATACAATCCCAGCCCTACTCTGATGGAATCCCATCTGGGCTCGATCCAACTCTAATTTTTTTCATACTATAGGGCTCGGTCCAGCTCGACTAGAATCCTACTGGGGCTTGATCCAGCTGGGCATTTTCCAATTCTAATCAAATCTTGCGAGGGCGGTATTCAGCTCCAATTGAATCCTGCTGGGGCTCTAATGGAATCCTACGATGGTTCGGTCCAGCTGTAATGACATCCTACTAGGGCCCGGTCCAACTCGAAAAGAAATTCTACGAGGGCTCGACCTAGCTATGCTTGAACTCCACACAGGTTCGATCCAACTCTAATAGAATCCCAGAAGAGCCGGATGCGATATTGAGAGAATCCTATGGATAAGGGCTCTATCCAGCTCTATTAAAATCCCTCCTGGGATCGACCCAGCTCTAACAGAAACCTACTACGGTACGATCCAGCTGTCATATAATTCCTACGAGGGCCTGACCCAGCTTAAACAGCATCCTGCCAAGGCTCGACCCAGCTCGGGTAAAATCCGACGGGGCTCGATCCAGCTCGAATTCGCCGGCCCAACGGGCCAGGGCGTGCTAAGATCTCCGGTACCTGGTTAACAGTATTTCTAGTTCGCGCGCGCGGGGCGGCCCCTGGGGGCCCCGGACGAAAAGTACCCCGGCAAGGTCCCAGCAAGGTCCCGGCAAGGTCGGGTCAGAGATGCCGGAGTTCTGTTACAGGGCCCCAGGACGGGCCAAGAGGTCCCCAAGAAGCCTCCAAGACGGTCCAAGAGGGCCCCGAGACGGCCAAAGATCGCCCGAAGACGCCCAACAGGGCCCCAAGACAGCCCAAGAGGCCTCCAAGACGCCCCAAGGGCCTTCCAAGAGGCCTCCGAAGAGGGCCCCAAGAGGCCAAAATCGTTGATTTTCATTGTTTTTTTCTATGTTTTTTGCGTTCTGGCTTTTTCGGCTTCCGGACGCTCCAAGACGGCCCAAGAGGCCCCCAAGACCGCTCCAAGACGGCCCACGAGGCTCCCAAGACGGCCCCGGAACGGCCCAGGAGGGCCCCCAAGACGGCCCAAGTGCCGCCCAAGACGGACCAAGAGGCCCCAAGACGGGCCCAAGAGGGGCTCAAGAGGGGAACCGAGAACTGAAAAATCGAGCCCTCCGCCCCAGAAGGCGCCCAGGAGGCCCCAAAAAGGCCCCAAGAGGCCCCCAAGAGGCCCCCAAGACGCCCCAAGAGGCGCCCAAGAGGCCCAAAAGAGGCCCCAAGAGGCCCCAAAACGGCCCCCAAGAGGCCCCAAAACTCGGCTAGCCCACAACGGTGCGACAATATGGGCCGGCGGAATGAGCGAAGCGATTAAATAACAGCCTTCACGGACTCGGTCAACTCTAATACAATCCCACCAGGGCTGGATCAAGCTATAATTGAATCCCTCCACAGTAAGACCCCGCCCTAGCAGAATCCTACTAGGCCTCGACCTAACTCGAATAGAACCCGCTCGGTCCAGCTGTAAAAGACTCCTGGTAGAGCCGGATCCAACACTAAAGGAATCCTACTAAGGCTGCATCTGGCTATCACGGAATCCCCCCAGGGGCCGATCCATCCCTGACAGAAACGTACTAGAGCTTGATCGTTGTCGTCTTCGTCGTCGTCGTCGCCTGACGGCGCCAGCGCCGGCGCCAGGGCTCGCCGTCGTCGTTTGCCACTGGCGAGGGGGGACGAGGGAGGCGATTCGCATCCCCCCCTTACAATTCAGGAGCGGGGGGGGGGCCTGTGATTCGAATCCCCCTTCCCTTGAGGGGGGGGGGCCTCCCGATTTGAACCCACCCACCCCCCTTGCATTTCCCGGGGGGGGGGGCATGGTTCGAACTTTCCCCCTTACCAGCGTCCACAGAACGCGCTCTGTCATACAGATCTACAGGAAGAAAGAGAAACAGACAGTTAGCTAAATATATATATATAGATAGATAGATAGATAGATAGATAGATAGACAGACAGATAGATAGATAGATAGATAGATGGATAGGTAGATCCGCCACCGTGCGTGGTGCACGCTGAGGCGTTGAAGAATGCCAAAGGCTGCCTGGCAAGTTCATGCATTCTAGCAACGGGCACCCCGCCCCACAGCCGCGTCTCCTTGCATGCACCGCGCCCTCCTTCCCGAGGGAAGGCAACCCCTTGTAAAAAACCATGGAGTCGCGACCCCGAGGCCACGATCCCTCGTTAAAAGCAATGGATCTGTACCCCGAGCTTCCAAGACAGCCCATGCGGGCAGGCCACCAAGGACACCAAGGTGGCCCAAGATGCTTCGAAGACAACCAATATGGATTCGAGACGGCCCAAGATGCCTCCAAGAGGGACTCAAAGTGCCACAAGAGGACCTCCAACAGGGTCCGAAGAGGCCAAAATCATTGATGTCTCTTTGTAGTTGAATGGTTGTCACGCTCTCGCCTTTTCGGGCTTCCGTCAGCTCGAGACGGCCCCAGAAACCTCCACGACGGCCCCAAGAGGACCCCAAGAATGCCCAAGAGGAACCAACAATGCCCTAAAACGTCCCAAGCGGGCCTCCTGTGGGACCCAAGGCTGCCTTAGAAGGCCCTTCGACGGCACTTCGACGGCGTCAAGACGACCCCACGAAGGCCACCAGACACCCACCACACGGCCAAGAGGGCCTCAGGATGACCCAAGAGAGCCCCAAGACGGACCAAGGGGCACCAAGGGACGCCCAAGACTGCCTCACAGGAGACCCAGACAGCCCTAAGAAGGCTCAAACGAGTTCAATGAGAGCTCCTCCCATAGTGAAGACGAAAGGTGACAGATATGACGGCATTCCTCCTCCTCCTCCTCCTACTGTTCCTTCTCCTATTCCTTGTCCTCCTCCTCTTCCTCCTTATCATCATCCTCCTCTTCCTATTCCTGCTCCTCCTCCTTCTCCTCCTCCTTCTCCTTCTCCATCTCCTCGTCCTCCTCATGAGCATGATCCCGATCATCATCACTACCACAACCGCCACCACCGCCACACCCGTCATCATCAGCATAAATCATCATCAGCATCATCAGCAGCAGCAGCATCAACATCATTATCATCAGCAGCAGCATCAGCGGCAGCATCTGCATATGCATCATCACCATCATCACTATCATCATGATCATCATCAGCAGCAGCAGCAGCTTCAACATCATCATCGTCAGCAGCATCATCAGCATCATCAGCATCATCATCCTCATCATCATCAGCATCATCACCATAATTTTCATCCGCATCAGCATCATCAGCAACAGCATCATCAGCATCATCAGCATCATCAGCATCGTCATCAGCAGCATCATGAGCAACAGCATCATCACCATCATCATAATCACCATCACCAGCACCATCATCATCATCATCATCATCATCCTCATCAGCAGCAGCAGCATCAGCATCATCATCATCATCAGCAGCAGCATAAGCAGCATCAGTATCAGCATCATCAGCACACTCATCATGCTCATCAGCATCAGCAGCAGCAGAAGCAGCAGAGGGAGAAGCATCGTCATCATCATCAACATCATTGCCATCAGCATGAACATTAACAGAGTCACCATCATCCGCATGACCAACATCATCGTCATCATGAGCATCATCATCATCAATATCGTCACCAGCATCATCAGCATCAGCATCATAAACATCATCAGCAACATCATCAGAATCATCAGCATCATCACCATCGTCATCATCAGTATCACCATCATCATCATCATCATCATCATCATCATCATCATCAGCATCATCATCACCAGCATCGTCGTCATCGTCGTCGCCGTCATCAGCATCAGCAGCATGATCGACGCCATCATCAACAGAAGCAACAGCATCATCATCACATTCATGTTCGTCTTCATCATCGTCATCCCCAAAACCCTCATCATCCTCACCACGGCTCTCCCAAGCCTGGAGAACCGAGAGGTTTCGCACGCGACGGCCTCCCGTGCACCCTCGAACGGTCGCCGCCGAACAAATGCTGGGCTGGCACGGCGGCGGGACTTGCCGCAGGCAGCTGGATATCCACGGCCCCACTCTGTGGACTCCTCCTCCCCGACTCCGTGGACACTGGGCGGCCCTGCGCGGAAGCCCTGCGCGCGGAGAGGCGTCCCCTGGGAGCGCGCGCCCGCGGGATCCCGCCCGGGTGCATAGACAACACGGGAGGCGCGGCGGCTCGTCGCTCTCGAGGACGTGCAGGCAGCATGCCCCGACAGCATGGAAGGGTCCTGCGATGCGTCCAGAGTGGGGACGGACAAGTTGGGAGCGAAGGTTGTCCAAAAAACAGCGGCCACTCCTGGGCAAGCCATGACTGCCCCACAAATGAGCGAGGACCAGAAACGGGCCTCACGCGAGATCACATAGCGACCTTACGCCGCAGCTTACGCGGGCCGCCAGCGCGACACGCTGCACTGGTAGCGAGGGCGCTCACGCGCGATCTTACGCGGGCAGCTTACGCGAGAATGTCGGCGCAATCGACCCCATTTTCTACTGTCGCTCAAATGGAGAGCGCCCGCCACGACCCCGACAGAGAGACGTGCCCCGAACAGACAGGCACTGCTGCTGGTCGCCGCCCCCAGCTCGGAGGAGAGCCACCTGATACAACGGCGGCTGTGCCACCCAGTTCTGCGGCAACCCATGGGAGCTTACCGTACCATCTTGTTGGCTCTTACGAATCGACGCAAATCGACGCTGAATTGACGCTGATCGACGCTAAGTCGACGCTTTCACATATGCTAGCACACGCGAATGCACTCTGAAGAGAGGCATACAATACAAGTCTCCTGCGACTTGCTGCCAAAGCCCGGCCCGAATCCGCTCGATATCGGTCCCTGGATTTCTGCTAGGGTAGGTCCTGATCCGTTCTTCGACGCGGACCCAGCTTTGAAGGGGCCCTGGGACACACAAATAATACACACATATAAAAAGGCCTCCCCATATGTTCTCCTATTTTATCGGTTCTTGTCCCCCCCACTTCCCACGTTCTCCCGTATTTTCCTGGGGGTCGACGATTCATTGTGTCTGTGTGTTTTCCCCCTCCTGAAAGGCTTTGGCGACGCGAGGCACCCAGGAGACCCAAGAGCACGAAGCACGTCGGAAGGCTGCCGTCGCCTCGACTGGCCCTCCTCGTCCTCTCCGCCCCCGTTTTTGTTGAGCGGGGGCCGACCGCCCCGGCATTCCTATCGGCGGTGGACAACCCTCCCTTGGCAAACCTCCCCTGAGTGAAAACGGCCTGGGACCGAAACCGAAAGACCTGGGCCCGCAAAAGTGACGGCCGCGACGCCCTCTCGCGAGCCGAAAACGGCCAACTCCTGAATCGGCGTGTCAGGGTAGGAGGTCTGTCCACCCCCGATCCTATAGGCCTACCGCGAATCGCTATTGGAACCCAAGAATGCTCTAAGAACAACAACAGTGCTCTTAGAGCATAAGCCCGATGTGTGTAACAAAAAACAGCCTCAGCCAGAAATGTTCTAAGAGCATTTCGTGAAGACCAACAAAGATCTTGAAACATTATTTGGTGGGCACCGTCCCGGCATTCCTGTAGGCCTACCGCGAAACGTTCTTAGAACCCAAGAATGCCCTAAGAACAACAACGATGTTCTTACAGCACAAACCCGATGTGCTAAAACAAAACGGTATCGGCCAGAAATGTTCTGAGAACATGTCGTGAAGATCAAAAAAAGGTTCTTGAAACATTTCTTGGTGGGCCTATAGGCGAGCCAGGACGCTTCGCCACTGCTTGATTCTGGGAGAGCCAAGAAATACCCATACCGGTGCTCCCGGACCTTTCCCAGGGCGCGTTCTGACCAGAACTTCGGAGCGAATCCAACCCGGGCGATGAGGGCCTCCAAGGAGCCCCATATACAAGGCGGCAGCGAGGACCAGGGAGGGGTACATCGTACATCGGTATACCCTTTTCTCCTCCGAACTCCGGCCCTCCACGCGTCCTAGAAGACCTGCACCATGCTGCCCTCGAACGGCCTGGCAGACTCCCTGGCCACCGGCGACGGCGGGCTCTGCGGGACGCACCCGGTGTAGCCCGCCTGCGGCGACCGCGGGCGGGGCTCCTCTGCCGCCGGCGGCTCCCAGGGGCACGCCCGGCTGTGGCGCAGGACGGCCGCGACGGTGCCGTCCGCGGCGAGGGCCACGTCGTAGACGCGCACCTCGCCACACCTCGGGGGGGCGATGCTGCACTGGAATCGCGGCCGCGCAGAGCACGGCTCTCTTGCAGGCAGCCCGAGGGTGCTCGTCGATGGGCCTTGGGTCGGAAACCCGTCGGCGACAACCACGAAACCGAACACGCGGGAACAACCATAGGTCAGGGGCCGAACACCCAACGCACATGGGCAACCAAGGCGACCACGGAAGCCTTTGCGAGCGTTCCGGGGGGGTTCGAGGCACGGGGCAGCTTCCATCAGCTGCGCCTCGTCGAGGGCGTTCTGGGGGTGCCAGAATCGTCCCGAAGGGCAGTCGGGGAGCCGGGCAATGACCCGAAAGCCACCTACCTTGAGATCCCCGCGTCGCTCGATCTGGCCCGAAAAATGCAGCATAAAGACAGGGTACGGTGCTCCGTTCGTGATTCTCTGCGATGCTGCAACTTGTTCGTACCGTCGGCTCTCAGGGTAGGTCCACACCGATCCTGACCCTAGCTGATCCAGGGCCCCTGACTGGTGTGTGCGCGCCCTGCTGGCTGGGCTAGGATAGCACGTAAACGCACACCAGCCCTCGGCCAAAGACGGTCCCGGCTGGGATAGCTGCCAGTATGCTGTTGGGACGCCCTCCGAAGGAGCACCCGAACTCCGAGGCCCCAGGATGGCCGAGAACCCCTCGCTCCAGCTCACGGAGGTACGCCTTGTGAGTCACGAGGCACAGCACGTCCTCCTGCATGGTGGCGATGCCCTCCTGGACGAAGCGTCGAATCCGCCGCCGCAGCAGAGCATTATCCTCTCCACAGGGGCCACCGACCGCGCGGGTCGCCAGCGGGTCACGGAAGTCCATGTGCGAGAACAGCTCGCAGCCCATCATGTCCCGCGGCGGGCTGGGCGTGTCGCACGGCAGGCACGTCTCGCGCTCGCGCAGGTCCTCGCAGACCTGGGTGGCGCCGTGCCCGGGGAACATGTGCGCAGCCGTCTGCAGAGTCCTCTGCAGCGGCGAGACCAGGACGCGGGCCGGCGCCGGCAGGCCCGAGGAGGCGCTCGTGAGCTCCTCGAGCTCCGTCCTGGAGAGTGCCGCCTGCGCCCTGCCCGCGTCCGAGAGCGCCGCGTCCCGCAGCCCCTCCGCCGTGAGGCACGCCTTCCTCGCCGCCTCCACGGCGGCCTTCCAGGCCTCGGAGCCGCTCTCCAGGCCCTGGGCCTCTGCCCTGACGGAGGCCGCCTTTCGGGCCTTCTGCTCCTCGATGTTGTGCAGCGCCTCGCCGTGCCTGACCTGGAAGAGGGGGAAGAGCAAACGTCACCAGCAGCTGCTCTCGGAGGTCCCCGCAGGTGCGTTGGATGGGCGCTGGATCGGCGCTCGCGCCCAGCGCCAGTCCAAGGAGTCCGCGCGAACCTCCGAAAGTGCATGCTCGTGCAGAGCTCCTTCGTTCTCCTACAACCAGAAACAGAGTCTTGACCATCACGATCGACGCGGCAGCTTCTGGCTCCGAACACTGGTGGGCATGGAGGCCCCTGATGGGACGCAGAAAGACATACCAGTACGATAATTGTCCTCCTTGGATCCGTGCGTCCGACACGAACATATAGCACAACAATATTGCAGTAGCAGTAAGCATTTGTCCGAGCGGTTGGCCACAAAGCGCCCGCCACAAAGCGTATACTACAAGACTTCTCGGCGCGCGCGTCGCCCCTGGGGGGCGACGCACACATAGTGGGAGGAGGAGGAGGAGGAGGAGGAGGAGGAGGAGGAGGAGGAGCAGGAGGAGGATGAGTCGTATTAGTATGCCATTGTGACGCGGACCTGACGCCACCAAGGGGCGTGGCAACCTCGGCCGCAGGCGCCTGCGAGGCCAAGTCTGTCGCGGACATGCCTGGCTTAGCCCAGTGACGTCTGGCCGCGGCGGCGGGGTGGCTGAGTTCTACGGTACGCGTGCACTCTGGGCAGGCGTTGAGCCACAGATGTCGGCGGCGAGCGCGGGGGGGGAGTGAGGAGGCCTTTCGAGGATGGACAGAACCCCCTTTAGCAAAACGTCGTTTAGTGAAAACGATTTCGGGCCCAAACCTGGCGGGCGCAAGCCTGGAAAATGACGGCCGCGGCGCCCTCTCGAGAACCGAAAACGGACGATTCGCTAATCGACGTGTCAGGGTGGGGGTTCTGTCCACCCGCGAGCCTTCTCTGAAGGCGGCGGGGCTTCTCAGAAGCAGCCCTCTGGCCGTCTGAATAATTGTCTGTGTCTTCGGGGAGGCTTGGGAAACTTCTCAGAAGGCCAGGGGCCTTCCGAGCCTTCTGAGAAGGCCCGCCCCCTCTCACTTCCCCCGTGGGTTCGCCGCTGAGAGTGGGGGAGAGGGAGGCGCGGGGACATCGGATGCCGAACATAGAACATCGGATCTGCCGCTGTCACCCGCGGGAGTATCACAGGTTGGCGCCGCAGCACCGGGCAAGTGTGAAATTGGAACACGGTCAACACATACGCGCACATGCATAATCAGGCGCCGTCCTGTCTACGTAGCACCCCGCAATTGCGGATATACGGGTGAAGGGGCGGCGAAGACGCCGGCAGTCTGCAAGGCTCTGAAGAAGCCCGCCGCAGGCGCCTAACTTCTACAAATTACGCAGTGAATCCGCCACAGACGCAGATTCTTTTCGTTAAAGCAATGTGGGTGAGTCGCAGGGTGGGTCGCGCGTGAGTCGCGGGTTGGTCGCCGGTGGGTCGCGGGCCGGGTGCGTACACTGGGGGAGGATGATCGTAGACTTTGGCACTGGTGGCAATCTTTCGGCCACCTACAAGAAGCCCGAGCAGTACCACCATCACCGGGTTCGGGATCATTTTCCCCCTGTCGCGGCACACCGCCAGTATCGGTGTTGGTGTCAACTTCTGGGAGAGAGCGTGATCCACCGCCGCTTTACTGTGCAAAATTGCCGCCCTTTTCCTACGGAGCCCAGGGGTCCCCCCCCCCCTCCGAAAATCCCCCCCCTTGCTGGAACCCCTCCCCCCCCCCCCCTCCCCTGGCAAAACCCCCCCCCTCACCCCCCCCCCCCCCCCCCCACTCGAAAACCAGGGGGGGGGTACCGGAACCTCCCCCCCCCTCGAAAACCGGAGGGGGGTCACTACCGGTTCGAACCCCTCCCCACCCCCCCCACTCACCGCCAGCAAACGACTCCCGGTCCCTACCACCGTCCGCACCACATCCCGCACTGTTGCTCCCAGCACCACTGATCTCACCACCACTGTCCCCACTGGCTCCACCACCGTCCCTACTGTCCCCACCAGTGCCCCCCACCACTGTCGCACTGTCCCCACTGTCCCCACCACTGTTCCCACCACGGTTCCACTCTCCCCATTTTCTCCACGGCCCCAACCACTGCCCGGCTATCCCCACTGCCCCCACTGTCCCACTGACTCCTCCGCTGTCCCACTGCGCTGTCCCACTGTTCCCACCACTGTCCCCACTGTCCGCACCACTGTCCCACTGTACCTCTGTCCCATTGTCCCACCGCCGTCCTCGCCACCGCCTTCACCACTGTCCCCACCACTGTACCCTCCACTGTCCCACTGTTTCCACCTCATTCCCACTGTCCCCACACCACTGTCCCACCACCACCGTCGCCACCACTGTTCACTGTCCCCACTGTTCCCACCATTGTCCTCACCACTGTCCCCACCACTACCGTCCCCACCACTGTCCAACTGTCCCCACCACTGTCCCGCTGTCCCCTCACCACTGTCCCCATCACCACCGTCCCCACCACTGTCCGCACCCCCCCCTCGGTTTTCGAGGAGGGGGGGGGGGGATCGAACCGGTAGTGACCCCCCCCGGTTTTCGAGGGGGAGGGGGGGGGGGAGAGGGTTCGAACCGGTAGTGATCCCCCCCCTTTTCATGCATGATGAACTGGGGGGGGGGGGAGGGGTTCGAACCGGTAGTGACCCCACCCGGTTTTCCCGGAGGGGGGGGGGGGGTTCGAACCGGTAGAACACGCTCTTTCACCTCTGGGCCTCCGAAGGGACGCCCGAGGCCCGCCCAGGACGGCGGCGACCGACGACGGGCGACGCGAGGGGGCGGCGGCGGCGGCAGTGCCCACGACGGGCGACGGGCGAGGAGCGAGGAACGAGCGAGGAGCGACAGACGACGACGTGACAACGAGCGGCGAGCCGACACGAACGGCGCACGGCGGCGGCCGCGGCGCGCGGGCGCGGCGCGCGCGACGACGAGCGGCGCGCTCTGCACGCGCAGGGCCCGCCTTCAGCCGAGGCAGCCGCGCCAGCGGCAGCAGCTGCCGCTCCACGTCCCGCAGGGGCTCGGGCGGGCCGTCGTAGGCCGCGAGCTCGGCGCACTCGGCGAGGGGCGTCGCCTGGCCGCGCCTCGGCGACGCGCAAGAGCGACCCTGGGCGGCGAGGTGACCTCTGGTGCGGGTCTCGCAGATCCCAGGCCCCTCGAGTCAGACACCAAAACAATACGACGGAAGGTTTCCGCTACCTTCGGCCTCCTGGGGCCCTTTCTGGGCAACGGAACCGTCCACAAGACGACTCGGGATGAGAACCGGTCCCGGGTAATGGGGCGAGACCTCTGGGGTCGACGTTATGAAACAGTCATTAGGTCGGGCATGTCCCCCTAATTACAGGCCGACTTTGGTAGAAAAATATGAAATGGTCCAAGAACGCTCAAAAATAGTCAACCTAATCGGGAAAGTCGTCCCCTGACTATCTGTTGACTCTTCTCGAACGCTCCTCCCGTGGAGGGACATGCCCCACACAAAACAATCGTCACGTCGGTGGTCTGGGGTCGCTGCGCGCGGTCCGGCAGCCGCGGCCTGCGTGCGGGGGTCGGGCCCCACGGCGCCCCCCCCCGGGAGCCGCGCACCGAGATGCGGCGCGTCGACGGGTCACTCTTGCGCGAAACCGAGCGCTGGGGAGGGCGGCGCCGAGGAGGAGGAGGAGGACGAGGAGGAGGAGGAGGAGGAGGGCGGCCGTTCGAGGAGTCTGGCAACGTCAATCCACGACTGCGGGCGGCTTTCGGCCAGCGCGCAAATCTGCGGGCGGCCATCTTCGAGATGGGCGCGTCGGAGTACAGTGGAGGCCCGACCACAAGAAACCGTCTAAAAGAAACCAACCCCTGAGACCCCAGGACGTCCATTGATTTTGTTTATGGAATGTCACGCTTGCCATGGCAAAACCATCGAAACCCAAGAAACCCAGGAAACCATGCAGGCAAGCAGGGCGTTTCTCGGCATGGGCCTCCACTGTAGTTCCCCTGGGTGTGTGTTATGTGTGTAGGTTGTGTATTGTGTTGTGTGCTGCGTGGTGGGTTGTGTTGTGGGTGTGTTGTGGGTTGTGTTGTGTGTTGTGATGTGTGTTGTGTTGTGTGGTGTGTGTGCTGTGTGTTGTGTGTTGTGTGTGTTGTGTGAATTGTGTGTTGCTTGGTTGTGTGAATTGTGTGTTGTGTGTTGTGTGTTGTGTGTGTTCTGTGTTGTATGTGTTGCGTGTGTGTGTGCGTGTGTGTGCGTGTGTGTGTGTGCGTGCGTGTGTGTGTGTGTGCGTGCGTGTGTGCGTGCGTGCGTGCGTGTGAGCGTGTGTGTGCGTGTGTGTGTGTGTGCGTGTGTGCGTGCGTGTGCGTACGTATGTGCGTATGTGTGATGTGTCTGTGTGCGTGCTTGTGCTTGTGTGTGCGTGTGTGTGTACGTGTGCGTGTGTGTGTGCGTGTGTGTGCGTGTGTGTGTGTGCGTGTGTGTGCGTGTGTGTGTGCGTGTGCATGTGTGCGTGTGTGTGTGTACGTGTGCGTGGGTGTGCGTGTGTGCGTGTGTGTGTGCGTGTGTGTGTGTGAGCGTGTGTGTGTGTGTGTGTGCGTGTGTGTGTGTGTGCGTGTGTAAGTGTGTGTCTGTGTCTGTGGCTGTGTCCGTGTCTGTGTGTCTGTGTTTCTGTGCGTGAGTGGGTGTCTGTGTCTGTGTGTGCGTGTGTGCGTGTGGGTGTCTATGTGTGTGGGTGTCTGAGTGTGTGTCTGTGTCTGTGTCTGTGTCTGTGTGTGTGTCTGTGTCTGCGTCTGTGTCTGTGTCTGTGTCTGTGTCTGTGTGTGAGTGTCTGTGTCTGTGTGTGCGTGTGTGTGTGTGCGTGCGTGCGTGCGTGCGTGTGTGTGTGTGTGCATGTGTGTGCATGCGTGCACGTGCGTGCGTGCGTGTCTGTGCGTGTGTGTGTGTTGCGTGTGCGTGCGCATGTGTGTGTGTGCGTGTGCGTGTGCGTGCGCGTGTGGGCGTGTGCGTGTGTGTGCGTGCGTGCGTGCGCGTGTCCGAGCTTCCCTTGTTTCCTGCGCGGCCTGGCACGCGCCGCGGCGGGCGGCCACCCGGAGAGCGAGGCCGGCGGACCGAGGACCCGAGGGCCCGAGGCTCGGGGACCGAGCACGGGCGCGGGTCGGAGCCGAGCGCCAAAACTCCCGTGCGCCACGCCGCACGCCGACGAGCGGGGACCCAACGAGGGCCCCGAAGGCGAGCGAAGCGAGGACTTCCTGACGAAGCGGAGCGAAGCGAAGCGCCCCGGCGTCCCCCCCCCCAACAAAAAAACAAACCCGTCCGGCCCCCCGCCGCTCCCAAGACGAGGGAGGAGGAGGAGGAGGAGGAGGAGGAGGAGGAGGAGGCGGAGGAGGAGGAGGAGGAAGAGAAGGGGGAGGAGGAGGAGGAGGAGGAGGAGGAGGAGGAGGAGGAGGAGGAGGAGGAGGAGGAGGAGGAGGGCCCCGAAGGCGAGCGAAGCGAAGGGGCACTGCGGCAAGCACGCACGTCTTGGGTGCTCCGCGGGGGCTTCCTGCACGGGCGTCGGTGCGCTCCCCGGCAGCGCCTCTGGGGCGCCGCCAGCTGGCGCGCGGAGCGCGCTGGATCGAGGCTCGAGACTCGAGCATCGAAGCTCCGAGACTTCGGTCGGGCACGTCTCCCTACAGGCGGAATTTGAACGAAAAATCGAAACACTGTATAAGAAATGCTCAAAAATACTCAAAAAGAAAAAATATAAAAATCGTCCCCGGACTGTGTTTTGCCTTACTTCTGAATTTTCCTCCTGTAGAGGGGCACGCCCGCCTTGATCCGAGATCGAGGCGCGAGGCTCGAAGAGCGGTCGCTCGATCATCGAGGTGCCCGGGCCGAGACTCGAGGACCGGCCGCAGGCGGCCCTGACACAGGGCCTCAAGGATGGCCGAAGGCGGCCCCGACAGGTGGCCTCCGAGTGGCCGCAGGGGGGTCCCGCAGGGCCTCATCCGAGCGGCGGTAGCCGGATCAGGTCGGAACACAGGGGGAGGGATGGCAGAGGGGGAGTCATGCATCTGCTCCATGTTTCCAGGATGTTCGCCTGCCCCTCCACTTCCCATCAGCTCACGTAGCTGATTTTCAATGCCTCCAGGCGCCGGAGGCGCCAGCGCATCGAGGAAAGGCACCCAGCTACGGGGCCGAACCCAGCTGCATGCTGTAGATGTCGTAATCCCCCTTCCATATCCCCCTGGGCGTCGCTTCAAGGGAGGGGCGATAAATTGGTGGAGGGAAGAAAGGTGTACATTTCGAGCCTTTCGGGCCCCCGTTTGGCTTTCCTGGGTTGTGGCTCCCAGGGTCTTCTTAGCTTGGGAAGTCTCTTGGAGGCCTGAGGCTCGCCTGGGTCTTCTTTGGGTACCTCTTGAGGCCTCTTGGAGACCTTTTGGGGCCTCCTGGGTGCCCCAGAGGGCCTCTGCAGGGGCCCCAGGGGCCCCGACGGGTTCCTTTCCTGCAGCCCTCGCTGCCCCCCCCCCCCAATTCATCGGCCCCCCGCTGCGCGAGGCCTGACCCCCCTCTCGTCCGACCCCGCCGGGGAGGACGCGCGCGAGGGAGAAGAGACGATCATCAACTCAGAGAGCCCGTGTTTTTGAAGCGCTCTTCGTCTCGAGGAGGCCTGTTGGGGGGGGGCTTCGGGGAGGCTCTCGTGGCCACGGATGGATTCGATCATCAAGCAGCGAGGATCGATGCTTGAGGATGTCCTCGCGACCTTCGGTCGAACTTGAGTCGAGCTCGAAACGAACTAGATTCGAACTAGAATCGAACAGCTCCGATAAGTTGGCCCCAGGAAAGTCCCCGAAACGAAACACCTCTTCCTCCTCCTCAGCTCCTCAACCTCCTCTTCATCAGCCTGCCAGTTGCATTACTCATGGTCTGGCTCCAATGCGATCACTGGCATTTGATTCCACCATCCCAGTTACTGTAAAAATGCAGGCGGAATCGACTTTCCCATGAGCTGCCCAACAATCTCCATTATTTCGCTGGTGGCCGCATCGTCCCTAAAGATGGATTTAGGTACCTCCTCCTCCTCCTCCTCCTCCTCGACGTGCTCCTCCACCTGCTCCTCCGCCTCGCGCAACCCCAGGCGTCTGCTCTCCCCCATCGCAGCTGCTGTCGCCAGGTTGTCAAGGATGTGCTCAAGCATCTCCTGAAGGAGGGGGGGCACGAGCAGGCAGCAGGCGGAGGAGGATACTGGAGGTAGGTCGGGCGTGTCCTCCTACAGAGCGATTCTGGACGAAAAACTAAGAATAGTCAAGAGATGTCACAAACAAATACAAAAAACGTCCCCAGACAATTGTTCGACTCTTCTTGAATTTTCCTCCTGTAGAGGGACAGGCCCGACTTAATACTGGAGAAGGAGGACAAGGGAACCCAGAATCGAATCGACAAGTCGGATCAGCGATCGAACCGAGCCGGATCGGCAAAATCGGCAGCCAAGTCGGCAGACGTCCACCGGCGGAAATCGGCAGGCTAGTGAGGCCTCCCATTGAGAAGCCGCCAACCAAATCGGAATCAGATTTAACGAATCGAATCGGAATCGGAATTAATCGCAATTGAATCGAATCGAGCCGGAGGAGTCGAAATGAGCCCTGGGAGGACGACGCGGATTGGGTGGTAGTGAACACTCCCGTTCCAGCGCCTCAGGTGCGAGGATTACGGCGACACACCCCATGGCGGATCTTCAGACTACGACGCTGAACAAAGAAACGGGAAAGATCAGGCAGGAAATGCGTCTCTTCACCCGGCGTAATCTTGTGGATACCACGACAACGAACACCCTAACAGTCCTATCATTGAATGTTAAATGTGTTTAAAAGATGGAAACATGTTCTAATCACGGTTTAAACATGTTGATAACATTGCTAAATCATGTTTAAGTCACATTTTAGATATCTGGAAACTATTTGGCAACATGCTTGTCTCCATTGATCGCCCTCCACAAGCGTAATCGATACGCATACCTGCAGGCGCCCATAAAAGCTGCTCGTCACGGGAGCCTTCAGGGGCGCATGGAGCCGGCCACCCCTGCTGGTCGTCCCGTGCTAAGGGGCCCTGGGACACACAACTGAATAGACACGAATAACAGGATTCCCCATATGTTCCCATATTTTCTCAGTTTTTGTCTTCGCCCCCACGCCCCATACTTTCCCACATTTTCTGGGGAATCGCCGATGACTTGTGTCTGTGTTTTTGCCCCCTCCTGACATGCGTGAGCATCACTTCTTTTCGACGAGCATGGGGCAGCGCGAGGAGCGGGGAGGAGCCGAGTCGGCACCGCACCCACGGGCCCCGCCCACGCCCACCATCCTGGCCGTAAAGGCAAGAAGCAGTGCTGGCGCAAGGTGCGATTGAGATTGGCACGAATTCCCACATGCTGACGACGACTGATGCCGATGATGATGATGATGATGACGATGACGAGATGACGATGACGAGATGATGATGCTGATGCTGATGCTGATGCTGATGTTGATGCTGATGCTGATGCTGCTGCTGCTGATGATGATGCTGATCAGGATGAGGATGAGGATGAGGATGAGGATGAGGAGAATGATGATGGCGGTGATGGTGATGACGACGACGACGACGACGACGATGATGATGATGATGATGATGATGATGATGATGATGATGATGATGATCATCATGGCGATGATGATGGCAAAGACAACGACATGACGAAGTACGCGCCGCGCAGAAACAGAACACTGCCGCTTTCACGCGAAACCCGCGCCGCGCTCGGGCGAGAGCAACACGTCGCCCGCCCGCGCGCGGCTTCGGCGACACGGCACGCGAAGCATACGCGCCGGCCCCCATCGGGAACGCCACTTCGACAAGGAGATCTGCACGGAAACATTGGGCGACGGCGGCATCTCGCCCGCTCGCTCGCGACCACGTGCCTGCAACGACTGCGCGGACGAGACGTGGGCGCCGCGCCCCTGGGCGAGCGCCACTTCTAGGAGACGCCAGCGCGGCGCGGAAGCGACGACACCGCTCCGCTCGCTCCCGCACGACCCGATGTCGACGAGCTGCCGAGCACAAGGTGCGCGCGGAGTCCAAGCGGAAGCTCCACTCTCGGCAGCAAGATTGCGCGGCAACGAGACGAGAGCACCACTTCGCCGTTCCGCGCGGATGCGCGCCCAAAGGCGCGCCCCGTTCCACTCGTGCCACTTAATTGGGGAGACCAAAAGGTACCAATACCACTGCTCCCTGGATAGGGGGCCAGATGCGGACCCTACCCTTAGCCCCCACGATTTCTGATGGGGAGGGTGGGGTTCACTTCGTGCGGGAGCTCCCGAACGAAGTGAACCCCCCCACCCTCCCACTCAGAAATCCGCCGGCCCGTTGTGGGTCTCTAGGCGTGTGAGATAGTTCCCCCCTCATAAACCCCCCCCCCAGGGACCCGAAACCGGAGATTCGACCCCCCCCCCGGCCCCAGGGCACCCAAGACCGAAAGCGCCATGGCCCTGGGGCACCCAGGACCGAACGCGTCATGGGGGAGCAACAGGCCCCAAAACGGGCCAAAAGCGCAAAAACGGGCCCACGCGACGGCCCAAGACGGCCCCAAGAGGCCTCCAAGACGGCCCACGAGGGCCCCGAGACGCCAAACGAGCGCTCCAAGACGCCCAAGATGGCCCAAAGACGGGCTAAGGAGCCTCCGAGACGGCCCAAGAGGCCCCCACGAGGCCCCAAGAGGCCTCCAAGATGCGTCCCAAGAGGGTCCCTAGACGCAACCATTGGCCCATTCCCTTCGTGAAACGCACATTTTCACAAATTCGCCTTCTGGGTTTTCCGATGCTCCCAGACGGCCCAAGAGACCCCCGAGACCGCCCCAAGACGGCCCAAGAAGCCTCCAAGAGGGTCCCAAGATAGCCCAAGGGGGCCCCAACGCGGCCCAACAGGCGTCCAAGACGGCCCAAGAGGGTCCCGAAGACGGCCCCAAGAGCGTTCCAGGAGCGCCCCAAGTGGCCTCCAAGAGACCTCAATATGGTCCCAGACGGTCCAAGAGCGATCAAAGACACCGAAGATGGCCTCCAGACGGCCCAAGATGCCCCCAAGAGGCCCCAAGAGGCATCCAAGATGCGCCCCAAGAGGGCCTCTAGACGCAAAAAGTTGGCCCGTTCCCCTCATAAAACGTACATGTTTCACAAATTCGCATTTGGGGCTTTCCGACGCTCCCAAGCGGCCCAAGAAGCCCCCAAGACCGCACCAAGACGGCCCAAGAAGCCTCCAACAGGGCCCCAAGACAGCCCAAGAGGGCGCCAAAACGGCTCGAGAGGCGCCGAAGACGGCCCAAGAGAGCCCCGAAGACGGCCCCAAGAGCGTTCCAGGAGCGCTCCAAGTGGCTGCCAAGAGAGCTCAACATGGTCCCACACGGTCCAAGAGCGACCGAAGACACCCGAGATGGCCTCCAGACGGCCCAAGACGCCCCCAATGGGGCCCCCAAGATGCGCCCCAAGAGGGTCCCTAGACGCAAACAATTGCTCATTTCTACTGTAAAACGTATATGTTTCACAAATTCGCCTCGCGGGCTTTCCGACGCTCCAAGACGGCCCAAGAAGCCCCGAAGACCGCCCCAAGACGGCCCAAGAGGCCCCCAAGACGGCCCCACGACGGCCCAAGATGGCCCCAAGACGGCCCGAGAGGTCCCCAAGACGGCCCAAGAAGGCCCCAAGACGGCACCAAGAGGGGCCCAAGAGAGCAACCAAAAATTCAACAATCTAGTTTTCCGCCCGCCCCCGCGAGCCCCAGGGGGCCCCAAGAGTGCCCCAAGAGTGCCCCAAGAGGCCGCCAGAGGCCCCCAAGAGGCCGCCAAGACGCCCCAAGGAGCCCCGAAGAGGCCCCCAGGAGGCCCCCAAAAGACCCCCAGACGCTTCCGTATTGCGAGCCGTCAAGCCAACTGCAATGCACTCCGCGCATACAGCCTTGCTCTTCCTCGCGACGTGTTCACTATCTTGCTCGGCGCTAATGTGCTGCTGCCGCGCGCGTTTCGCGCGCGCTGCGAACGTCAACAGCCTCTTCACCCGTTTCGACTCATCTGCAACATCTTTCGCGGCGATGCCTCGCTGATCACAGTTTCCGCACGCTACTCTTGCTCCTTTCGTCTTCCGGTGGTCCTCCACTTGGTTGCGGGTCGAAAGGCCGACCTCCCAGAAGGACACCCCGCACCCGGGTGTACAGCACGCAAGGCGCTCGCAAAACACGCCCCAGACCACCCAAAACACCCCCCCCTACGTATCTGCCACCACCCGCGCGCGACACCGCATCCTCACACAAGACGCCGCTGGCCAGAAACTCCTGGCCTCGCAACACTCACAGAAAGGGTCGGCGGATGTGGCGTAAGTCTGTAGAATCGTGGGGGGTAGGGGTAGGGTTCGCATGTGGCCCCCTACTGGACCTCCCCGGGCGCCTTCTGACCAGAATCTCGAGGCGAATCCAGCGGTGGCGACGAGGGCCTCCCAGGAGGCCCACAAAAGGAGGAAAACGAGGGAAGGGTGGCGGTAGGGGTACCCCTTCCTCCTCTGACTCGCGCTCCTACGGGCGACCTGCACGCACCGTGCTGCCACGGGGAGCGAACGAACAAACGATGAATGTCGATAGCAAGACGCCCATGTTGAAAAGGAAACGTCCACTCCGTGTTGCTGCTTGATGGGCAGGACGGAGGGGCCCTGATCCGGGGGACGCTCGGCCAGCTGGGTGGCAGAACCAAAATATAAATTACCAAGAGTTTCTTGACGGGAAACCCAAAATGTACGGGTCTCGGAAAAAATTAGCGAACACTCGTGCCGCATTCATCTGTCAATGCCCCCCCATTGATGAACGTTGGCGGTCAGTTGAATGAGCTGCACTTCGACCGCAGTCTTCCCCGCGTGTGCCCAACTTGAGTTTGGGGGAGTGGGGGAGTGCCCACTAATTGCTTCCTTCTACCGCGCCAATACTACTACTCCCTGGACCTATGCCAAGGCGCAGTCTGACCAGGATACCAAGGCGAATCCAGCGTCGGCGACGAGGGTCGCCGAGGAGGTCAAACAGGGGACAGCGAGGCAAGGGTAGCGGTGTCGGTACCTTTTCCTCTGAGGTAGGGGTAGGAAAAAGAACGAGACTGAAAGAGGAGGGATGAAGACGAGAAGGAGAAGGGATAGAGGGACATTGGTGTAGGCGGCCGAGAAAAACGGCAACGACGACGAAGGCCTCATCTACGTCATCGTCATGACTGTCCTCCTGCTTGGTTCCATGTTCCTTCGGGATCCTCCCCACCTTCCTCTAGTATCATCATCCTCCTGATTCGCATAGTTGTCGAGATTGTCCTCTTGACCCTCCTCCTCCTCCTCCTCCTCCTCCTCCTCCTCCTCCTCCTCCTCCTCCTCCTCCTCCTCCTCCTCCTCCTCCTCCTCCTCCTCCTCCTCCCTCAAATGATTGGACCCAAGGACATGTGCTTGGGACGCTCTGGCCACGATGTCGAGGCGAGTTCACCCATGGCGTTTCTGCGGCACCCGACACAACACGCTCCCCACAAAAAACAGCCCAAAGCCTCGACCCTCGATCATCCTCACGACCCACGCCCTCCTCCTCCTCCTCCTCCTCCTCCTCCTCCTCCTCCTCCTCCTCCTCCTCCTCCTCCTCCTCCTCCTCCTCCTCCTCCTCCTCCTCCTCCTCCTCTCCTCCTCCCCCTTCCTCCTCCTCCTTCCCCCTCCTCCTCCTCCTCCTCCTCCTCCTCCTCCTCCTCCTCCTCCTCCTCCTCCTCCTCCTGTTCCTCCTCCCCCTCCGTTTTGCTCCTCCTGCTCCTCCTGGACGACCCAGGACCTCGACCTCTGCAGCCTTGTTAATTCACTGCCTGGACGGTCCACCCCTGGAGGTCTCGACCCCCTGCCGGGGACTGGCGCGGACAGGGGGGCAGAGCGCCGATCCAAGAAATCCAAGCGGAACTCTGGCTACACATACGAATTTCGTCCTTCGGTGGTCTCTGGGGTGTTGGCTGAAAACATGGGAGAACAAAAAGTGGCATAAACATAAAAACTCGGAGGTCCGCGCGGATTTCTCGGATCGGCGCTGGGGCCCCCTCCCTGGCGCGCGGAGCGCGCCAGGGGCGGCGCCGAGGCGCACGAAAGTTTCCCGGAGGTCGTTCTCGGACACGTCGGCCAGTAACGCGCGGTGGCCTTGCTTTGGCCCATGCCCTTTGGTTCGATTACCCCTGGGCGCCGCGCGCGGGCGCGCGGTCGCTGAAGTTGCGCCATCGTGCTTCGGCGCGATCGCAAGCCCAAAAGAGGCGCGCACCGCGTTGTTCCACAGGGGTGTCGCGCAGATCGGGGTCGTCCAGGCCAGTATCTCCCCCGAAGAAGCTGACGGCGTCAGCGTCGGCGCCCGAATCGACACCTGCTGCTGGGAATGCCCCCTGCGCTGGCGACTCCGAACTGGTGTTGACGGCGGCTACAGGTGCAGGTGGGTTCGGTGCCGACCCACCGCAGCTGGGCCATGCCACCACAGCTCGATCCAGCAACAGTGCCACAAGCACCCTGAACCTGATCTGGCGATGGCGCACCCATAAGGAAGGCGCGCCGCTGGGCAGATTGGACCGCCGAAGCGAGGTTGCCTGGCGATCCCTCGATCATGTGCGAACGCGCCGCAGCTGGCCCATCATGCGCGCGAGCTGCCGGAGTGGGCCACCTCGCAATGCTGCGAGATCATGGCCACTTGGATGTTCGGCACGCCGACGACACGCAGCACGAGGAAGCTGAGGCCGTCGTAACCGATCATGAAGTGACCAGCTTGCTGCGCCCGGTTGCGAAGATTGTCGAATCGTGCGATCAGGTTGTCGAAATGACGCGTTGATGCTCATAAGTGCTGACGCTGCCGAAGCGCGTTCCTCCTCACCCGGTTGGCCCCGCAGTCTGGCAAAACAGTGCACCAGGTCACCGGTGGCACTAGGACGCCGTTGATGAGACCTACGTTGATCAGACAGCTGGCGGCCATTCGCCCACGCACTCGCGTGCCATGCCGGTGGGGCGCGACGAGACGCAGGCCGCCTGGCGAAACTCGTTGAGGCCTGCGCTCGCCACTGACCAGATCATCACCTACCGCCCCCATTTCTGGAAGGGCGCGCGAGCTGCTCGGGCCCCCAGGTGCGAAGGTGTCGCACGTTGCCGTTGCCTCCGTCTGCGTCCGTGCAAGCGATGCAAGTGGTGATGGCAATCATGCCCACTCCGATGGCCGTCCATCCGGAGCGTAGCTCCCTCCACACGTCGTAGGGGTGATGGGGACTGGGGATTCACCAGCGCCGCTGCTCGGGAATTGTGCCTCCGAGATGCCGCGGACACTGTCGCCGGATGTGTTCCTCTTCGTCTGCGGGTTGGGCGCATTTGTCGCGTGGTCGTGGTGCTCTCGGTGCTCGGAATTTCCCGTGATGCAGTCACGGGAGTGTTCCTCGGGTGTCGCGTTGTCGCTGCACTGAACACCGCTATGTGTACTGTCGTCAACGTGGAATGCGCATCGGGACCCAATCCTGCAAGGCTGCAGGGAATGACTGGGTAAGGTGAACGGTCGTGTACCACGGAGCAAAACTATGGTCCTCCCAGTTCCGATCTGCTTTCCCTCGGAGAGCTGGCGACACAGTCGCCAGATCCTCCATTGCCTCCCCGCTTTTCTCGGCCATCTTCTTCCAAGGCTCTCGCGACCACACACACACACACATCTGCAGCTCGGGACCCTTAAGTGACACCGTAGATGCGAACGCTGTGTCGAGCAACTGTCTGACATTCCGGGCTACGCCCACAGGGTGGTGCACTGACAGCGTGGGGTCGGCTATCTGCGATCGGCTCGCACGCCCGGGAGGGATCACTGAAAGCTGCGGCGCGCGGCCGGGGTCCTTGCAGTCTCTCACTGGCTGCGGTAGGCCTGCGCCTTTCCCGCCGCCGGTCCCCGCGAATAGGCGGACGCCCTGGCGGACTCGGGAGCGACGACGTCCCCTGCCGCGGCGACCGGGAAGGGGTGCATTGCGAGCGGACGTCCAGCAAGATGACGTGCTGGATGTAGAACGGCACGATGTAGCGCGGCGGGGAGTTGGACCCTGTGGTGCCGAAGGGAAGCGCGAACGAGAAGCCAGTGCGGCCGTGGTATTGGAGCTGGAGCTCCGCTACCAACTACAAAAAAGATGCAAGTGTGGATGAGGGCGAAGTGTTTCTGCAAAGCGGAATGTGCAAATACGACGAAAGTGAACGGCAATGAACAGCGGGCACGCTAGGTAGCAATCCGTAAATGGCAGCGGCAGGGGCAGGCAAGGGAAGGGGTGAAATGGGCAGGGCAAGTACTGTTCGACTTGAAGAGGGAGTAGGGAGGAACGAGAAAGTGCAGGAGGAGGAGGAGCAGGAAGAAGTGGGCGAGAAAGAGAAGGGAAGCGCTCTGCCGCGACGGCGCGGGAGCGAACGCGCCCTTCCCGGCCCCCTTCACCCCCAGTAACGTCAGTTATTGCCCGGGAATGAACGAATACTCTCTAATCCATAAAGGGCAAGAGCAGGCGGAGCGCGCCAGTCCACGGCGGGAGAGCCCAAGAAAAGGAACGGTTGTTAGCTCTGGCGAATTTGCTAGCATGGAGGGGGGTGGAACGCGGCCCGGAAGGAAATTTGGACTCCACGCCAGGCGACACGCGCTTGCAGGCTGGTTCGAGTCAGTGCTGCATGAAAAGGCGGCCAAGGGAAGAGGGGGATGCGATGCAAGTGAAATTGCCCGAGTTTAACGCAAAACGTCCTCAAGTCGTGACTTTGTTCACGACTCGAGGGGGTATGAATCTACCTGGACGAGGTGGCGGAGGACACCTTTCCGCCGGCGTCTCCGGGCTCACGGGGTGGCTGAGCCGCATCCACTTCAACACGTCGGCCAGCTGGTCAGTGGGCATGGTGACCTCCGATCCCGGCAAGACGACGACAAAGACAAGAAGGGAGGAGGGAGGAAAGAGAAATGAGGAGGAGGGCGGAAGGAAGGACGAGATGAAGAAACGCTGAGGAAGGAAGGAGGGAAGAGATGAAGAGATGAAGAGATGAAGAGATGAAGATGAGGCCTACAGCGTCCACTACTGAAATCACCGCTGGGGCTGTGAAGAGGATAGGGGGGCAGAAGTAGATGCTAAGATGGGTAATACCTGGCCAAACTTAGCTTGTAGGTGGGTTGCAAATGTTTTTCTAGAGGGGGGGTGCAGGTCTAGCCTGCCATCTAGTCACCCCAACCGTACAACAACTCACTTGTAAGCTAGGTCAGGCCAGGAATGACCTACATTGGCATTCAATTCGAACCTCCCTACCCTCGCATCCGATGGATTGGTTGTTTCGATCCGCGGCCCCCTACAAGGTCTCCACCACTTCCCCAGTCCTGGAGCCCGAAAGTGGCCCCAGGAGGCCGAAACGGCGGAATGACGCCAGGATTGATTGGCACGACATCAGTCTGGCCAACATCTGGGCGTCCCCCCGAAAACCCCTGCGGTGATCTCCGCACCTGGCGTCGAGGTTAGGAGGCAACTACTGGGAGGTCATCGTTGGAAGCAGTAAGGAAGATTAAGCCCCATTGGGGGGCTGTTACGCCAGAATGGGCCTCGGATCAAGCGGGACTAAGCGGGACTAAGCGGGATTGAGCCGGATTAAACGGGATTCAGTCGGATGAAGCCGGATACCGGGGCAAAATCAGAATTTGACCCCCCAGGAGTTGCATCCGAATCCGAGGAGGCCCAGAGACTGCCTGGGCAGCACGCCCTCGGAGTGGCACCCGGGCCCGGCGCGCTGCCCGGGGGCTCCCCTGGCCCGGGCCCGCGCGGGCGGTGGGCGCGCAAAGCGCCTGTGCCGTCGTGCCCGGGCGAGCGAGGCGCCGGTCGGCCCTGGCATGAACACGGAGGGAGGAGGGAGGAGCAGGGGGGAGGAGAGGGCAGGGGGGGAGGGATCGTCAGGAGGGAGGAGAGGCGAAGAGTGGGGGGGAGGAGCACGAGGGGGGTCTCTACACGGAGGGAGGATGGAGGAGCAGGGGGGAGGAGAGGGCAGGGGGGGAGGGATCAGCAGGAGGGAGGAGAGGTGAAGAGTGGGGGGAGGAGTACGGGGGGGGTCTCTACACATCGGACCCGCAAACAAGGAAGAAGGACAAATCAATCTTCGCACAACAAGATGTAGGTCCCTCACGAATCGAAAAACAAGTCCTTCACCACATACATACTCACCCCGCTGAAAAGCGAACGAATACCGCTTGAAACTAATCAAACCACGCGGCTGGAACGACGAACGAAAGAACACTTCGCTCCATACAACCCACTTGGTTTTGAAGAACACACAACCTTCCGTGGAAATTGCGGCACGAATGTGAAGCCCCAGAGGCCCGTCTGGGAGCCCCCGCGGGGCCTCCAAGATCGCCCCGATACGTCACAAAAACCTCTTCGGGGCCCAAAAGGCCCCAAGAGCGCCACGAGAGGGAGAACCTGAAGGCGCCTTCGAACCCCACATCCCACGGCGGCCCCAAGATTCCCCGCGGGGGCCCTTGGCACGCCTCCGAAAGACCCCGAAAACGCCCCCACAAACCTCCAATAGGCCGCCAAAACGTCGCAACAGACCCCAAAAAATCCACGAGAGGCTCCATGAGACCGACCCCCCAAAACGCCCAAAAATCCTCCAACATACCTCAATGACCACCGATGAGGCCTATCGAGGAAGAGCTTCCGAAGGTCGAGCGTCGATCAATAAGATTCGGAGGAAGAGTTCACGAAAGATCAACAACGACGACACAAAAACTAATCTCTCAGAGAGTACGCCCCCCCCGCTTTCGGATCATATTTGGGCGGATCTGGCACTCCTTCTGCAGAGGAGGCAAAGCAATAGATGGCGGGGGACGTCAGGGGCGTAGAGGCTCAGACCTAGAGTGGCACCAGTCCGCCGGCGACGGCGGTTCCGCCGGCGGCGGTTCTCTGGCGCGCAATTGAGCGAACGACGACAGATGACGGAAGGACCGCGCCCAGACTGGACGACTCCGCAAAACGACGGGCGGCGCGCCCCCAAGTCAAATGAGTGGCCGCGACGGACGACGGGATGGACCTTCATGATGACTTACCCACTATAGCCGCGCGGCGGACGAACGACGGGCGAAACTTCCGTGACCTACTCACTTGCAGCGAAGAACAGAGGAGGGAGCAGGAGAAGGACGAGGAGGAGGAGGAGCAGGAGAAAAGTGAGGAGGGGAGGAGGGGAGACAAGAGCGATTCGCGGCTCTGGACGCAAAGTGCCCCCCGAGCCCAGGAGCAGGGCAGCCGGCATCGGGTCAGGAGGCCGGATCGAAGCCGGAATCCGGGTGCGATCGGGGCGCATCGGCACGACGGAGCCGAAGCGGGATCGGATCCGCCGCGGGCCGGGCAGGCCAGCAACGCCAGTTCGAGCGCATCGGGCCGCGAAGGGTTCGCCAGAAGATCATGATCGAATCGGATCGAGCCAGCAGGAGCCGATACCGCATCGGATCGATCGGATCCAAAGATGGGCCTTCGCGTTCAGGCGTCCTCTTCCCGTTCACGGGTTTAGGCGCTCGGGCGTCCTCCTCCCGCCGCCCGCACGCGCGCGCGCGCCTGCCGCAGGACGATGGCGAAGTTCTGGGCCCGCTTCGCGTCCAGGATGCACCTGGGCCAGATGCACGGCCCGCTTGGCGCACCTCATCCTCATGATCCTCGCCGTCATGATCCCCTGATTGCAGGGGGCCCAGAGAGACACAAATAGATCGCCACAAAGTCCAGGATTCACTGTACTTCCCCCATATTTCCCGATACGTTACTGGCGATAGAAGTTGTTTGTGTCTATGTCTAGTTTCCCCTCCCAAATATGCCCTTGCCTCCTCATGAGTATCATCATCCTGCTCACCCTCGTCACCATTATCGTTGTCATTCCTCCGAAGCCTCTGAACCCCACAGCCAGAGATACCATCCCCGTCTGTCCTATGCTCCTGCTCGCAGATGTCCTCGTCCTCCTCCTCCCCGACTCCTCGTTCTTACCTCTGCCAGCATCCCCCTCCACCCCGCCCCACCCGCTCCTCCCTGGCAGCCTCACCCGCCCGATGCCCCGCAGCACGGCCACCTGCTCGCCATCTTTACTGTTTTTTGAATTCACAAAACTGGTTTTTGAATTAACAACTGGTTCTTTGAATCCAAAAACTGTTGAATTCAAAAACCTGTTTTTGAATTAAAAAAAACCTATCCCCTCACACCCCTACGCATACGCATGAGCCAACTAGGACGTCTTGCTGCTGGCTTGGGACGGTCAGTACATGGTACCCGCTGTACCCACCTCCCATCCTCAGCGCCCCAACTCAAAGTTTAGAGCGGGCTCTTCTCTCATGAGAGACGAAACAACAGAACAACGAATGTCCCCCATTCAAGACGTGTTGTCGCCGACAACGTCTGACCCGGGGCAAGTGGACATGGTGCGCACTTCGAGACAGCAAAGAAAATGTCGCTCAGATACGTTCTTACTTATCCCATGGCGCACTCAACCAATGCATCACACACGCGCGCTCGCAACACTGAAACTCGACCTCGCATTCACTGCGCATGGCGCTCCCGCGTTCCAACGGCCGCGCCGACAGTGCGCCACTCACCTGGGCCGAGTGCTGCCCGTCCCTGGACCAGACGGTGGAGCGTGAAGCACTGCCCAGGCAGGGAGAGTCCTCGGCGACCACGGCACGGGCCCAGGGCTCGGGCGCGCCGACGATGGGGGCCGGGACGCAGCTGGGGCTCGGCACGGCCCGAGGCGTGCGCGCGCAGCTGAGTGGGGGGCCTGGGGATGCCTGGCAGCCACGACAGTGCCCTGGCCATGACATCGACCCCCTCCCCCAGTCCTCACCCTTCTGCGGCAACTCATAGAAGCCGCATGGCCTCGCATGGGACCCTCGCGAACCGACGCTAATCGATGCGCATCGGCGCCAATCGCCGCTAATCGGTGGCAAATCGACGCTACTCGACGCTAATCGACGGTACATCGGCGCTTTCTCATCGGTTATTACGCACTCTAAAATCGGAATTGCGAGGACACACAAGGCTACAGTGAGTTGCTACCGAACCAGTGGATGCGCTGAGGTAAGAAAGGGGGCCATGATACCTGGGAGACAATATTACCCTGGCCATGATATCGACACACCCCGTTGTAGGCGGCCAGGGGGTCTGAACTGGATGGACCCCACGAAAATCGGTCGAGAAAGGGGGATGAAGGCAAATCCGCTCAAATTCGGCCCCCAAACCTTTCCTGGGGTCCATCCAATGCAATTTCTTTCACCCCAGATCGATCCGCTTTTCATGGTCCCGGGACCCAAGAGCAACCCCCGGGAGCCGAAAAAAAATCAAAGCCTTCTCGACTCTAGAAAATCTGGAACCTCGAACCTGCCCCCCCCGCCCCTCCCGCTCGCCGGGACCAGTGCTGGGCCACCTCAGACCCCCCGCCGGCTTCAGAAGAGGGCTATGATACCTGGGAGCCAACAGTGCCACGGCCATGATATCGGAGGAGGAGGAGCAGGAGGAGGAGGAGGAGGAGGAGGAGGAGGAGGAGGAGGGAGGAGGAGGAGGAGGGAGGAGGAGGAGGAGGGAGGAGGAGGAGGAGGAGGAGGAGGAGGAGGGAGGAGGAGGAGGAGGAGGAGGACCCCCCCCCCAGTCCTCCCCCCCACCTCTGGGACGCCCGCAAAAGGCCGGGTGGGCAGTCGGGGGCATGGCCACGGCCAAACCATGCCAGGGCTCGGCGCCTGCGGCATGGCCCTGCCCCAGGAGTCGGGCGCACCGTCGGGGACAGGGCCGCCCAAAGAGAATCCACCCAGCACTCTGGTCGCAGCTGGCTTTGAAAGATCAGCGAGCGACGGACAAAACAACAGCTCTTACGCGAGACTACATAGCGACCCTACGTACGCGGTGACTTATGCGGGCCGCCAGCGCGGAATGCTACGCTGAAAACGAGGGCGCTTACGCGGACCTTACGCGGGCAGCTTACGCAGGTGTCGGCGAAAACGACCCCGCTTTTTGGTTGCGTCGCTCAAAAGCTTTAGAGAAATATGGTTGAACACCCCTCTTCCATTTCGAGGAAAAAATCCCCTTCGCCGCCCCCTGCCCCCTACCCCCTACCCTGGGTCCGGACGGTTAGGAGGCGCGAGGGGTTAATGCGTCCAGGATGGCTCATGATGGCCCCAAGGGGGCCTCAGATAGCCCATGATGGCATCCAAGACGGCCTCTAGAGGGAACCCAAGAGCGTGTCAAGAACGCCCCAAGAGGTGATGTTTCTGGTCACGATGGGCGGACGCGTTGATTGATGCCCTCCAGAAATGCTCAAAGGTCGCCCGAAAGGCCCCCAAGAGTGCCCCAAGAGAGCCCCAAGAGATCCCAAAGGCTTCGAAAATGGTCCCAAGGAGGTCCCAAGATCCCCCAAATTCGCCGACCCCTTGAGGTTCCTCGGCGTGTGAAAAAGCTGCCCCTGCCTAAACCCTCCCCCGGGAACACAGTCCAGCCAGTCGCTGGCGGGGCCGACGGATTCATCTGGCCCTACAAAGCTCCCAGACGGCCATCAGACGGGCCAACATGGGCGCACGACTACTCCAGATGGTCTCCAAATTGCCCACGCTTGCTCACAAACGGACCCAGATGGCCTAAAAGACAACCGCACCAAATAGGCAACCAAAACGTTCCAAAAGGGCTCTAAGAGAGTCGCCAATAAGGCCCGAACAGGCAAACATCGCGTCAACCCCTTGAAGAAAGTGTACAAATTTAGCTCACTTGTTAGGTCCACGCAGCGTCCACGACGGCCTACGAGGCCTCCATCATCGCCTGGAAACGGCCTGCGAGGCGGACAAGAGAGCCACAAAACCACCCCCAAGCGGGCCCCTAAGACGGCCCAACAAGCCCCCAAGACGGCAGAAGTGCCCCGGGGCACAAATAGCCCGAGAGACAGCCCAGAAGCCCCAAGACGCCCCAAGCCACCCCAAGAGGCATCCAAGAGGTCACCAAAAGGCTAAAAATCCGATGCCTGTTGCTGGCCCCGTAGCTTGGCCTCCAATTGGGTCGGTGGTGCGGCGTAAGCCCGCGAATAGCGTCCCATCTTCGCCCGTGTCGAAAGATCAGCGAAGGCATTAGTGTTTGAAACGAAAGGAAAACCATCACTAAAACGCCGCGATTCAAAACAAAAAATGATCGCCAGTGTGATCCCCCACACTGGGTGGCTCTAGGAGTATACTTTGTGCAATAGATGTGATGCACTCCATGAGGTGCATTCTACGTGGTGCAATTCCCCCTGCTGAACGTAAGATTGTCAACTCCATTACTGCCGCAATCATCCCACCCACCCACCCGCAACTTGGTTTGCAAAACCCATGCGGCGCCGATTGCGATGACTGCGGCGCTGGCTGGCGCATCGCCGCAACCGCGCTAGCGCGCATGCTCGCGCACAAAGCGGTTAGCTAAATCGGCGCGGCCGACGCGGCCGCGGTGGCGCTGACCACCGGGCACTTCCCAGCGGGCACTTGCGACTCGGCGACTTGGGCGGGCGCGGTAGCATGGCTACGTCGACAACGGTTGACGCGAGGAAAATGGTAGCGATGCTGGTAACGATGATGACAAAGACGACGGCACGACCAGTGACGGCGCCGATGCTGATCACGCCGACGACGATGCCGGCGTCCTCGCGTCGGTGATGAGGGTTGTGGAATGAGGTCGACATCCGCGCGCGGCCGACGCGCGAGTGGCCCACATGGCGTGATTTGACACGGATCGCGTCCCCCCCCAACACGCGCGCAAGGGCGTTCGAATGATTTCGACATTCGGCGCGAGAGGCCCGTTTGGCAGATTGGAATGGAAATTTGGACTCAAAACTCACGGTGTTCTTCAGAATTCGTAAGAGCGCGAACGCAGGCTGTTGTTCAAAACTGCTGTTACATAACCATTTTTTGATGTTGCCAGGAACTCTTGCGACAGCACGTGCGCAAGGGCGTTTTTGCGATTTCCACACGCGCACACGAAAACCGTCTTCTTAAGAACCCGCCGGAACACGAGCGCAAGTTTTTGCTGACCATCCGTGTTGGGAAGCCATGTGCTTTTTAATTGATCCGGGACATTCGATGTTGAAATCTTTACGAAACCCATGTTTTTTGAAAGCTTTCAGCATGCGCTCGCAACGACGCGCGTGTGCGCACTTCGTCCCGATGTTTGCAAGGGTTTCTTTAAAACTGATGAACGTTGATAAGCGAATGCGCGCGCATAGTACTTCTGCAGAAGACGATGGGGGCGATGCGGGCCTTTCTGGGGTGATACGAATTCAGACTTAGGATGCACGATGGGGTAGAACCATAAATAAATCGAAACACGGAAAGGGGGACCGCTAAGTCTTATACCCCCCTTGAAAATGAGAGGATATATGGTGTTGAATGAGTTGTGCACTCGACGTGGTACAATAAATGGTGTACAACACGCGAGGCGCAGTGTATATATGCGGTTCACTGAATGTGAAGCAAACTATGTCGTGCAGTCTAGGTGGTGCGATCTATGTGTGTTTGTTACATCTCTTGTGTGCATCATAAGTGGTACGATCTACGTGGTGCAATCCACTCTGCTGAACTTGAAGTCGTCATCTCCACTGCTCGCGCAAACATCTCACCCACCCACCCGCAACTTGGTTTGCAAAACCTCTTAAGACCGACTACGACGACACCGACGTCAACGACTACGACGACCCCGACGACGTCTCCGACGACTTCGACGACGACAACGACGCCGACGCCGACGACGACGAAGACGACGACGACGACGCCAACGAAGGCGACGACGAGGGAGGAGGAAGGACGACGACGGCGACAACGACGACAACGACGACAACGACGAGGGGGAGGGAGGACGGCGACGACGCGAACGACGAAGAAGGAGGAAGGACGGCGACGCCGACGACGACAACGACGAGGGAGGAGGGATGACGACGACGACAACGACGACGACGACGGCGACGAAATAGGAGGGACGACGACGAGACGCCGACGACGGACGACGACGACGACGACGAAGGAGGAGAAGGAAGGATGACCACGGCGACAACGACGACGGAAACGACCACGACGCCAAAGAGGACGATGACGACGAACACGAGGAAAGACAGAGGACGGCGTAGGCGACGACGACGACGACGCGGGAGGAGGGAGGACGGCGACGACGACGACGACGACGACGACGACGACGCAAGAGCGCGCGCGCGCACGCTTTCATTGAAAATCCGTGTTGCGAAACCTTGGGTTTTTTGTAGGTTTTTTGGACACACGATTTTCAAATCCTTCCGAAACCGATGGGTTTTGAAGGATTTCGGCATACGCGCGCGACGACGCGCGCGTCTGCACTTCGTCCCATTTGATGCAGACGATTCTCGCGACGGCACACGCGCAAGGACGTTCGACAGATTTCGACATGCGCGCGCGAAGCCCGTTTGGTAGCATTTTGTGAAAATCTTGAAAAACCGATGGTTTTCTTAAGATTTCGCAAGAGCTCGCGCGGAAGCTTTTTTAGCAAATCTGTTTTGCGAAAACTTGTGTTTTTGTATGTTTTTGGGGAAACTCGATTGCGAAATCCCTCCGGCACCGAAGGTTTTTGAAGGATTCCGGCATGCGCACACGACGACGCGCGCGTGCGCACTTCGTCCCATTTGTTGCAAAGAATCGTGGGAAAATGCTATGCTATATATATATATATAAAAAAAAATGACACCGCATAGTGTTTTTTACGAGGGACCCTCGGGGGGGGGTACCGGCCCCCCGGGGATAGTGTAAATTCAGATTTAGGATGGACATGTGGTCAGAATCGTATATGATTTACATACCCGAAAGGGGGACCGATGACGCCAGGGGGGGTGGATCCTATTCTGTTTTGAGAAAAGAGAATATACGTGGTGCAATCTATGTGGTGCACTTGATTTTGCAAACGAGTTGACACATCCCATGCTCTTGCAAACACCCCACCCGCCCACCCACAGCTTAGTTTACAAAACCCATGCGGCGGCGATTGCGATGAGTGTTTGAAGTTGGTTGGTGCATGTTGTGGCCGCGCCAACCCAAGCACGCGCGCGAAGCGGCCAGCTAGTTTGACGCGACCGACGCGGCCGCGGTGGCGCTGACCACTGGGCACATCACAGCGGACATTTCAGTGCGAGTCGGCGACTTGGGCGGGCGCAATTTCATGGCAACGCCGACAACGGTAGACGCGATGATGATAGTAGCGATGCTGGTGACGATGTTGACAACGACGACGGCGCTGCGAGTGACGGCGCAAACGCTGAGCGCCGACGACGATGACGGCGTCCTCGCGTCGAAGAGATCGACATGCGCGCGCGGCCGACGCGCGAGTGGCCCGCATGGAATTATTTGACACGGACCGTGCCCCCACCAGCACGCGCGCAAAAGGTCGTGCGAATGATTCCTGCATGCGGCGCGAGAGGCCCGCTTGGCAGAATTCAGCGAAAAAAATAGCTAAATCTTACAGTGTTCTCTTGAATTCGCAGGAGCGCGAGCGCAAGCTTCTTTGAAAACTGATGTTGCGAAACCATGTGAAGTTTTGTTGAACACTCGGTGTTGAAATCATTACGAAACCAACGGTTTTCGACAGACTCTGGCATGCGCGCGTGGCGACGCACGCGTGTGCACTTTGCCCCATGTGTTGCGAAAAGGTTCTCGCGACAGCATGCGCGCATGGGCGTTCGAACGATTTCGACATGCGCGCGCGAAGCCCTTCTGGTAACATGCTACGACTATGTTGAAACACCGATGGTCTTCTTGACAATTCGCAACAGCGCGCGCGAGCTGCGATTGAACATCCGTGTTGCGAAACCCTGTGTTTTTAATGAAATCCTTACGAAATCAAAAGCTTGAAGCATTTCGGCATGCGCGCGCGACGACGCGCGCGTGCGCACTTCGTCCCATTTGTTGCTAGGGATGTTTGAAAACTGATGATTTGTGACAAACGAGTGCGCGCGCATAGTATTCTTTGTAAAGGATGGCGGGGGGGCGGATACTTGCCACCCTGGGATGGTGCGAATTCATATTTAGGATGGGCGATGGGGCAGAATCATATGAACTTGTAAAAAGAAAAAGTGCATTCATAAGTCCGCCCTGGGGAGGGTGATAGAATCGATTCTCTTCCTACTCCTAGAAAAGAGAATGTACATGGTGCCGTACAGTTTGCGCAATCCATCTGGTGCAATGTATGCGGAACAACAGACGTTGTGCAGGCCGTGTGGTGCTGTCTACGTTGTGCAGTCTAGGTGGTTCAATAAAAGTTGTGCACTCTGTGGTGCAGTCTGCGTTCTGCAGTCCGTGTGGTGCAATGGATGCAGTGCAAGCTACGTTGTGCAAGCTGTGGTGCGCAGTGTATGCGGCACAGATTCCTGGTGCACCTTACGCGATGCAGTTCATGTTGTGCAACAGACGGCGGCAACCAGGCAGCGACGGGGCGGCGAACGGCGGCAACGCAGCCGTCAGACCGATAGACAGGCCCAGACGACGGGCGGCGACGAGGCGGCGACGGGGAGGCGGCGGCGGCAAGGCCCGGGCGACTCGCGGCGACGGGGCGGCGACGGCGGATACACAGCTGGCCGCCAGACCGACAGGCGGGCCCAAACGACGGGCGACGACGAGGCGGCGACGGGGCGGCAACGGCGGCTACATAGCCGCCAGACCGACAAGCAGGGCCAATTCCTTGGAGCCGAGATGACGAACCCGAATCGGGGAACGTCGTCGGAGGCCTGGATGGACCGCCTCCCGCCACGAAACTCGGCGCCTTGCAAAGGGGGGGGGGCGGGCGAGGACCTCGACAGAGTGCTCCCCCGCGGCGCCCGACGAAGGCCCGACGAAGGCAGCGAGGGCGAGCCCCAGGCCCCAACGGCGCTGGCGGGGGAGGGGGGGGGGCGGACGAGGACCTCTGCAGAGCGCTCCCCCGCGGCCCGACGAAGGCCCGACGAAGGCAACGAGGGCAAGCCCCAAGCCTGAAGTCGGGCCTGTCCCTTTACAGAGGGAATATTCAGAAATAGTCACAAAATAGTATGGGGACGGTTTGTATTTCGACTATTTTGGAATACATGTTGACCAAAATCCCTGCAGGAGGACATACCCGACCGAACCCAAGCCCCGACGGCGCAGATCGCAAACCACACCCTGGCGTGGCCACACACTCTTGAGACGAAGCCAGGACGAGGATCAAATCAGGTGAGGATGCAGTCAGCCCAGATAGTAATGGTGCGCGATAAGGATGCAAGGGCCATGGACGCCCACTTCGCGGCCTTCCGAGCGGGGCGCGGCCAACGAAAGTGGCCAAGGATGAACAGAGAAGGCACGGATGCGAGGGTACCCTTGGCAAGGTTGCCATCCTTACGATGCGGGCTCACTCTAAATCGAGAGGCGTCTGAAGATCCTGAGGATGTCTCGGGCGCCTTCGGCCTTCTCAGAGAGCGTCCGGAACGCTCTCAGAGTGTGTTCCAAAACGCTCTGGAACGGGTGCATCCTGGTCCCAGCCCCGCCCGACCTTTGCAGCCGCCGAGAAACGCCCGACTGCCCCTCCCGGGCGCCTGCTGCGGGGGGCCGCGGCGGCGCCGCCAGACGCCGCGCTGGCGCGGCGCGTGGCTTCGGGGCCGCCGGCCTCGGGGGCGGGCGGGGGCGGGGCAGGAGGGCGGCAGGGGGAACGCGGCAGAGGGAGGGGGCAGAGGCAGAGGGAGGGCAGAGGGACTTCGTCGCGCGGTGCGGAGTTCCCTCCTCCTCCCCACCTCCTCCTCCCCCTCCTCCTCCACCTCCTCCTCCTCCTCCTCCTCCTCTTCCTCCTCCTCCTCCTCCTCCTCCTCCTCCTCCCCCTCTCGATTTGAAAAAGAGACGACAGGAGCCCAGACAAATTCCGTCGCGCTCTGTTCGCAGCGTGGTTGTCCAGATCTGGGCCCCTTCCCCGTCCTCCTCGTCCTCCTCCTCCTCCTCGTCCTCCTCTTCCTCGTCCTCCTCCTCCTCGTCCTCCTCCTTCGCAACGTGATTGCCATCCTCCTCGTCCTCCTCCTCTTCCTCCCCTTCCCCGGGAGCAGCTTCTCATCCCGAGCCGTCTCTCGACGGCCCCGGGGCCCAGCGTGGGCCCCCCGAGAGGCCGAGCATGGCCGTAGGCCTTCCGCCGTGTCTCCTCGCGGCGCGAGGACGCCAGGGCCTCACGGGGCGTCAAAGGAGCGGCGGGAAGCCATCCCCCCCTCGATTGGCATACAAGGACCGCAAACCCTTTGAGGGGGGGCCTAAGTTAGGAGGGCCAGAAACATTAGGAAGAGGGGGTCGTTTCCGCAGATGTATCGAAACAAGCTGCCCAGATATACAGTCTCCCTAGGCTCTAATGCAAAGACGGGGACCTAAGTGAAGCCACATCCTCACCGTGTTGTTAGGGTCAGGGTTTCCTTTTTTTCGATGATCCCTTGCCATCGCTCAGACGTGCATTCCCCGTGCATGCTTCGGCTTCGTGCGCATGTGCTTCCGCAAGATTATATCAGACGCTCCTCGATGGTCCCCGCCGAGAAAAAGTGCCCATGCTCGAGCGATGCCAAGCCCCCAGGCCAGTCCCCTGTGGGTGCGCCCTCTGGCCACGAGCGCGGCGGAGGAGAAGCCTGCCGGGGACGGCAACCTGAGAGACCCAGGCTGGTCAGATAACCTCGGTACGCTGGAGGGCGCGAGGATGGCAGTAGAGGCGAGGATGTCGGGGGTGCAGCGATCATAGCATAAGAAATACGGTATAACCATAAATTTTCGGAGGTCCGCACGGATTACTTGAAGCCGCGCTGGAGGCGCGCCAGGCGCTGGAAGCGCCGCCAATTGAGGGCCCAGCGCAGATCCAAGAAACCGGAGCGGACCTCCGAAAGTTGATGTTTGTGTAATTAGTTTGGATGATAGCGGGCTTTCCTTCCTGTCCAGTGTTCTTCGCCTGTCGAGCTCCTGCAGTGCAAACACTGGATAAAAATCTCCCAAAAACTCATCGAGCGCTGCGGTCAGGTCTGTTTTCGCATCGCGGCCGTCAAGACGCGACAGCTCACGCCAGCAAGGGTTTGCCCAACGCGAAAACAATGGAGATGAGGAGTTGCGAGGACGAAGAATCATGAGCAGGGGCCGACCGTCCGGGCATTCATTCCGATAGGCCTACTACGAAAATGCATTTGGGACAGAAGAATGCCCCAACACACACACACACACACACACACACACACACACACACAACAGTGCTCTGACAAAAGAAAAAAACCAATTGGGTAAAACAAGGCGGCCTCAGCCAGAAATGATCGAATAACATGTCGTGACAACCACGCACAACAATTCGAACATTCTGTGGTGGGCGTGTGGGTGAGCCAGGACACCTCGCCATTGCTTGGGAAAACCCAACGAGAACATCCAAAAGCGACATGAGCTTCACCCTCGTCCACTTCGGGGCCCTAGATCCGTGTGGTGACGGACCTCGTGGCCACCTGGCAATCCCACCGTGGTGACCGACCGCGCGGCGAAGTCACCGCGCGGTCGCTACCGCACGGTCTTGGGACCTCGGAGGCCCCGTCGCCAAGGACGGTATCCGAAAACGACGCCAATCCCAGCATCGCGCGGCGCCCACGAATCCTTACTGACTCACCACGCGGTGTGTGCGTGCGTGTGCGTGTGTGTGTGTGTGTGTGTATGTGTCAGCGTGTGTATGCGTGTGTCTGTGTGTCTGCGTGTCTGTGTGTGTGTCTGTGTGCGTGTGTGTGTGTGTGTGTGTGCGTGTATGCGTGTGCGTGTGCGTGCGCGCGTGAGTTTACGTGTGCGTGTGTGTGCGCGTGTGCGTGTGAACGTGCGTGTGCGTGTGCGTGTGCGTGTGTGTGTATGTGTGTGCGTGTGTGTGCGTGTGTCTGCGTGTGCGCGTGCGTGTGTGACTGTGGGTGTGGGTGTGCGTGTGTGTGTGTGTGTGCGTGTGCGTGCGTGTGTGCGTGTGTGCGTGTGTGCGTGTGTGCGTGTGTGCATGCGTGTGCGCGTGAGTGTGTGTGTGTGTGTGCGTGCGTGTGTTGTGTGTGTGCGTGAATGTGTGTGTGTGTGTGTGTGCGTGTGCGTGTGGCGTGTGTGTGTGTGCGTGTGTGCGTGTGTGGGTGTGCGTGCGCGTGTGTGTGCGTGTGTGCGTGTGTGCGCGTGTGCGTGTGTGCATTGTGTGCCTGTGAAAATGAGTGCGTGTGTGCGCGTGTGTGCGATGGTGCGTGTGTGTGTGTGCGGGCGTGTGTGTGTGTGTGTGCGTGTGCATGTGTGTGTGCGTGTGTGCGTGCGTGTGCGTGTGAGCGTGTGTGCGTGTGTGCGTGCGTTCGTGCGTGCGTGCGTGCGTGCGTGCGTGCGTGTGTGTGTGTGCGTGTGTGTGTGTGCGTGTGTGTGCGCGTGCGCGTGCGCGTGCGCGTGTGTACGTGTGTACATTGTGTGCGTTGTGTGCGTGTGTGCATGCGCGTGTGCATTGTGAGCGTCGTGTGTGTGCTGTGCGTTGTGTGCATTGCGTGCGTGTGCGTGCGTGTGCGTTCGCGTGTGCGTGAGCGTGTGTGTGCGTGTGTGTGTGTATGTGCGTGCGTGTGCATGTGTGCGTGTGTGCGTGTGTGCGCGTGTGCGTGTGTGCGCGTGCGTGTGTGTGTGTGCGTGCGTGCGTGTGCGTGTCCGTGTGTGCGAGTGTGCGTGTGTGCGTGTTTGAGTGTGGGTGTGTGCGCGCGTGCGTGCGTGCGTGCGTGCGTGTGTGCGCGCGTGCGTGTGTTTGTCATCCGCGACGTCGGCATCCACGGTGCATGTCCGGCGCCCATTCCTTCACGGGCTGGCACTCGTGCGTCGGGTCCAGTCTGTCTGCCTCCTTGCCTGGTCTCCAGGCCGGCCCATCCTCTGAGGTGGCCACTCGCTGGTCTTCTCCAAGGGGCTGCCTTGCTTGACAAAGGTATTTTCACACTATTACCTTGAAGGAGGTATCTGCCAAAGGAAACAAGCGTTTTAGTAAGTGTTGTTGCTCTGTTGCGCGATACCTGCGGCGGCGCGCCCGAATTGCCGAGCCGCGCCCTGCGCTCGCGCCCTGAATCTTCTGTCCAGGAGCATCTACGGCTGCTGAAAAACATGCCCAAGGGTCGCCGCGACCCGACGCAACGCGACCCCGATTACTCGAGCAAATGCATCGCGGGGTGAACCGGCAGGAAAGACAGGGCCCCCCCGCCCCCCGACCGGGGCCCTGGCCCCGCACCGCCTCCCCAGGGTCTTATCAAGGCAGACCGCGGACTTGAGTAAAGCGAAGAAACGGCTTTACTGAAGCGAAAAAGCGGCTTCACTAAAGCGAGGAAAGGGCTCTACTAAAGCGAGGAAGCTGCTTTAGTAAAGGCGCGCCGCTCGATACATTCCGAAGAAAACGACGTTGTACGAAAGCAACAAAGAGCTTTAGTAAAGCGGAGGAACGGCCGGGGTAAAATTGCGCGCAGAAGTTTCGCTCCTCCCCTAAAATCTGGCCCGGGACTCCAGGAGCGAGCGGGGCGGGGCGCAAGTTCGCCCGCGAGCCGGGGCCCCGTCGCCGCCGTCGCCGCGATCTTCGTCGTCGCCGCCGTCGCCGTTGCCGCCGTCGTCGTCGCCGTCGGCGCAGGCGCCGCCGCCGTCGTCGCCGTCGCCGTCGTCGTCGCCGCGACGCCCGCGCATTCGCGTTATCACCAGCGGCGAGTCGCGCACGACCGCGCGCGCCTCTGCGCTCGCATCCCCGCTCGTCCGACGGGGGTCCAGGCGGACATCATGATTTTTGATTGCGCTCACACCTCGTTCAAAGTAACGGTGGGGGAAAAAAGCTTCTGACTTGAAAGTCTTGCGACCTCGGCTCCCCCGGGCACTGCTGCACCGTTTTAGCTTGCCTCTGGCGACCGCCCCGGCTGCATTACCCCCCAGCTGCTGCCTCGCCGCCGCTGGCCCAGACGCCGGCGCCCCCCCGCCGCTGCCGGCCCCCCTCTGACCGAGCTCGGCGCCCCTCTCCCTCCCCCGCGCATTGCGGCTTGTTCGCGTTTCGTGCATCCCACTTACGCCCCATCACCAGCGCAGTGACTCTGCCTAGACGCGTTCGGAAAAGTGTGAGTGCGTGTGTGTGTGTGTGCGTGTGTGCGTGCGTGCGTGTGGGCGTGTGTGAGTGCGTGAGTGCGTGTGTGTGTGTGTGCGTGTGTGCGTGTGTGCGTGTGTGCGTGTGTGCGTGTGTGCGTGTGTGAGCGTGTGTGTGTGTGTGCGTGTGTGTACGTGTGCGTGTGTGTGTGTGCGTGCGTGTGTGTGTGTGCGTGTGTGCGTGTGTGTGTGTGTGTGCGTGTGTGCGTGTGTGAGCGTATGTGTGTGTGTGTGTGCGTGTGTGTGTACGTGTGCGTGTGTGTGTGTGCGTGCGTGTGTGTGCGTGCGTGCGTGTGTGTGTGTGTGCGTGTGTGCGTGTGTGCGTGTGTGCGTGTGTGCCTGTGTGCGTGTGTGCGTATGTGCGTGTGTGTGTGTGTGTGCGTGCGTGTGTGTGGTTGCGTGTGTACGTGTGTGTGCGTGTGCCTGTGTGCGTGTGTGAGTATGTGCGTGTGTGTGCGTGTGATCCTTTTTGCGTGTGTGTGTGTGTGCGCGTGTGTGTGTGAGCGTGTGTGTGCGCGTGTGTGCGTGTGTGCGTGCGTGTGTGCGTGTGTATGCGTGTGCATGTGCGTGTGTGTGTGTGTGCGTGTTTGTGTGAGCGTGTGTGTGCGCGTGTGTGCGTGTCTGCGTGTGTGTGTTTGTGCATGTGTGCGTGACTTTGTGCGTGTGTGTGTGTATGTGTGTGCGTGTGTGCGTGTGTGTGCGTGTGTGTGTTTGTGTGTGCGTGTGTGTACGTGTGTGCCTGTGTGTGCGTGTGTGCGTGTGTGCGTGTGTGCGTGTGTACGTGTTGTGTTTGTGCGTGTGAGCGTTTGTGTGTGTGCGTGTGAGCGTGTGTGTGTGCGTGCGTGTGTGCGTGTGTGTGTGTGCGTGCGTGTGTGTGTGCATGTGAGCGTGTGTGTGTTTGCGTGTGTGCGTGTGTGTGTACGTGCGCGTGTGCGTGCGTGTGTCGTGTGTGTATGCGTGTGCGTGTGTGCGTGTGTGTGTGCGTGTGTGTTGTGCGTGTGCGTGTGTGCGTGTGTGTGTGCTCGTCTGCGTGTGTGCGTTTGTGCGTATGTGTGTGCGTGTTTGTGTGTGGGTGTGTGAATGCGTGTGTGCGTGTGCGTGTGTACGTGTGTGCGTGTGTACGTTTGTGCGTGTATGCGTGTGTGTGCGTGTGTGTTTGGGCGTGTGATCGTGTGTGAACGTGTGAGCGTGTGTGCGTGTGTGTGCGTGTGTACGCCTGTGTGTGTGCATGCGTGTGTGCGTGTGCGTGTGTGCGGTGTTTGTGTGTGTGCGTGTGCGCGCGTGTGTGTGTGCGTGTGTGCGTGTGTGCGTGTGTTGCGTGTGTGTCGGTTATGTGTGTTACGTGTGTGCGTGGGGTGCGTGGTTGTCTTTGTGTGCTCCTGTGTGTGCGTGGTGTGGGTGTATGTGCGTGTTGCGTGTGTGTGTGTGCGTGTGCCGTGTGTGCGTGTGTGCGTGTGTGTTGTGCGTGTGTTGTGTGTGTTGCGTGTGTGCGTGTGTGTGTGTGGCGTGTGTGCGAGTGAACGTGTGTGTGCTGTGTGTGTGCGTGTGTATGCGGTGTGTGTCTGTGCGTGTGAGCGGGTGTGTGTGTGTGTGCGCGTGTGACGTGTGCGTGTGTGTGCGTGTGCCGCGTTGCGTGTGTGTGTGTGCGTGCGTGTGTGTGTGTGCGTGTGTGGTGTACGGGTGTGTGTGTCGTGTGGTGCGTGTGCGGTGAGTGTGAGCGTGTGTGCGTGTGGTGTGTGTGTGCGTGGTGTGCGTCGTGTGTGTGTTGTACGGGTGTGTGTGTGCGTGTGTGTCGTGGGGCGGTGCGTGTGAGCGTGTTTGTGGTGCGTGTGGCGTGTGTGCGTGTGGTGCGTGCGTGGTGATGGCGTGTGTGTGTTTTCGGTGCTTGTGTGCGGTGTTTGTGCGTGTGTGTGTGGCGTGGTGCGTTTGTGTGTGGCGTGCGTGCGTGTGTGCGTGTGTGTGTGTGTGCGTGTGTGCGTGTGATGCGTGGGTGCGTGTGAGCGTGTGTGCGTAGTGTGCGTGTGTTGCGTGTTGTTGTTGGCATGTGAGGCGTGTGTGTGTGGTGTGTGTGTGTGTGTGTGTGTGGTCGGAAAGGTTGGTGTGTGTGTGTGCAGTGTGCGTGTGTACTGGTGTGTGTGTGTGTGCGTGTGTGCGTGTGCGTAGTGCGCGTGTGATTCGTGTGTGTGTGCCGTGTGTGCGTGCGTGTGTGTGTGTGCGGTGCGTGTGTACGTGTTTGTGTTTGTGCGTGTGAGGCGTGTGTGTAGTGTGTGTGTGCGATGTAGCGTGTGTGTGTGTGTGTGCGGGTGTGCGTGTGTGCGCGCGTGCGTGTGCGTGTGTGTGCGTGTGTGGGTGTGTGTGCGTGTGTGCGTGTGTGCGTTTGTGTGTGTTTGTGCGTGTGCGCGTGTGCATTGTTGTGTGTGTGTGTTTGTGCGTTGCGTGTGTGTGTGTGCGTGCGTGCGTGTGCGTGTGTGTGCGTAGGGGGTTGTGTGTGCGTGCGCGTGTGCGTGAGTGTGTCTGTGTATGCGTGCGTGCGTGTGTGTGTGCGTGTGTGTGTGTGTGCGGACGTGTGTGTGTGTGTGTGCGTGTGTTCGTCGGTGTGCGTATGTGCTTGTGTTTGTGCGTGTGTATGGGTATGTGTGTGCGTGTGTGTACGTGTGTGTGTGCGTGTGTGTGCGCGTGTGTGCGTGTGTTTGTGCGTGTGTGTGTGTGCGTGTGCTTGTGTGTGTGCGGTGCGTATTATGTGCGTGTGTGCGTGTGTGCGTGTGTGTGTGTGTGTGCGTGTGTGCGTGTGTGTGTGTGTGTGTGTGCGTGTGCGTGCGTGTGTGTGTGTGCGTGTGTGCGTGTGCGTGTGTGTGTGCGTGTGTGTGTGCGTGTGTGTGTGTGTGCGTGTGTGCGTGTGCGCGTGTGTGTGTGTGCGTGCGTGTGTGCGTATGTGCGTGTGTGCGCGTGCGGGTGTGGGTGTGTGTGCGTGTGCGTGTGCGTGTGCGTGCGCGTGCGAGTGTGTGTGTGTGCGCGTGTGTGTGTGTGTGCATGTGTGTGTGCATGTGTGTGCATGTGTGTGCTTGTGTGCGTGTGTGCGTGTGTGTGTGTGCGTGTGTGCGCGTGCGTGTGTGTGTGCGTTTGTGTTTGCGTGTGTGTGTGTGTGCGTGCGTGTGCGTGTGTATGTGCGTGAGCGTGTGAGCGTGTGTGTGTGTGTGTGCGCGTGTGCGTGTGTGTGTGTTTGTATGCGTGCGTGCGTGTGTGGGCGTGTGTGTGCGCGTGTGTGTGTGTGGGTGCGTGTGTGCGGTCGTATGCGAGTGCGTGTGTGCGCGTGCGTGTGTGTGCGTGTGTGCGTGCGTGTGCGTGTGCGTGTGTGTGTGTGTGCGTGTGCGCGCGTGCGTGTGTGCATGTGTGTGCGTGTGTGTGTGTGCGTGTGCGTGTGTGCGTGTGACACGCCACGTCACTGATGTAGCAGAGGACCGCTCGTATCACTCTGAACGAGAAGGCAAGAAGTACGCAGGTAGGTCTTCCAAGAAGGGAGCTATGTTGCACCCTAATGTTTTTTTCAGGGTCCATGCACGGGCTGACGTTCGAAGTACGGATCGTGCGGATGTCTATAGCACTCTTGTGGTACGCTTGCCTGCTGGACCTGCGACGCCTCATGTCCTGTAAGCTGCAATCGGCGCGCGGTGCTCCGCGAGATTCTGTAACGGAGCGGCGTGAACAAACCGTCAATCATGTGCTGTGTCGTCTGAACGCTGATCTATCCGAATGGTGTGGAAGGCACGCACAGACACCCAAAAAGTACACGCTGCATGCTGTAAGCAGCGGCACCGTCAGCGCAATTATGCAGGCCAGCTCAATTCGGAAAGCGGCGACTCTCAAATAACCCGTCGAGGCTGCACTGATTAGTCTGCGTGCTTGGCAACCGTTGGGCTCTTCTAGAGTTTGGCCACTGTGGTCCTCCTGACGAGGGGCGCAAACAGCCGATCCCAAAAAGTAGTGTACACTGCCAAATGACCCACCGCCTCAGCATCGGGAGAGTAGCGGTGGTGGTCGTCGTGGTAATCTGGCAGAGATAGCAGACTGCAAAGGGGATGACCAGCCTGCTTCCAACGTAGGAGAATATGCAAGGGAGGCAGAGTCATGTTGAGATGCTCCATGACCCCGTACCATTTCGTGAACGCATAGAACGCCACGATCAACCAAGGTCGCTCCTGCAAGAGGCCTAGCCAGGCAGCGAGAATCACCGTGGTCGCCTTGCACATGAACACGTTCAGCAGCCCTTCCGCGTCAGACTCGATGTCGTTGGCCCAGGGAGACAGATGACGGACATCATGGTGCTCCTTGTGGTACCTCCTGTACAACACTCTGGTGTGCATCGCCCAGTGCAGCAGGAACGACATGAAGTCGAAATACAGGAGCATGCCGACAAAGGTCAGCGCCGTCGAGCAAAGCTCCAGCGAGTCGGACGGCCAGAAACCAACAGCAAGATTCGTGGCGACGACTGCGCCCCGCCTGGCGCTGCAAGCATACGTGATAGCGTATATCAGAGGGTCCAACCAATAGCCTCGCACCCGGGAGACCCGGGCCTGCCGCATGGCTGTCAGTTGATATGGCATCTGCCAAAGCGACGCTCGCACACTCGTGGGCGCCCCTCCCATGCCCCCCTTGTGGTCGTGCCGGAAAGGCTGCAAGGCCTCGGCACCGAACACCCAGTTCACGCCGACGTTTGGAAGCCACCACATCATTTCTGTGGCCACGAAAGCCGAGGCACAGAACTGGCAACCTGCTGAGAGGCCCAGGGCCACAAGCGCACTGTTGCAGTAGCTCACCGCGACAGCCGTGGTGCCAACTATCAGGACCCAGTACAAGTTCACGCACATGACGAGCTTCGAAGTCGGTTCTGCCTTGAGACCGTGCGTGGCAGAAGTCTCCGAGGCAGACGGGAGGCACATGGCTGTACAAGATCACAGGCGAGGGCGCAGACTTGCAAACTCCAAGGTTGATCGCTGCCTCGGCACATCAAAGGCTTGAGCCAAAATGGCTACGGAATGCTGCACCCTGATGTTGAAGTCGCTATGGCCCTGTTTACGGACCTTGAAGAGGCTCAGGTTGATGCCTGCAAATGGGGAAGTACAGCTGGACCTAGGACAAAAAAACATCATTCAAGAGCACGAAACCCTCGGCCGGCCTAACTGAAGAGCATTCGAGGGTACCCTCCCCCGGGATGCACAAGAACATCCAACAAACACGAAAAGCATTAGGGCACCCTCCCCGAGCCGACCTCGATCTTACGCCTCGGTCCGACCGTATCCTGGATGTGCTGATGAGCCCTAGGAGTTGGTCGAGCTTGGGGGGTATCCCGATAAGGTTCTCCAGCATGATCCTGCCACACAGTCCCAACCCACAGGTGCAGCATGAGTGCGCCTGGCTAAAGGCAGCGGCTTCCAGACGAAGCAGCCTGGCCCACGTCAGCCGCACGACAGTCGCTACTTTGTTTCCGATCGCCGCTTCTTCTTGACACTGCACAGCCTGAAGCCTCCGAGCACCAGCTCACGGAGGCACAGGCCATCGTATAACTCCAGGGCCACGACCTTCTCATGATGAAGGTCTGGGATGGGGCGGGAGCGAGAGTAAGCGGGGGTCTGGTGGGCGATGACGTGCGTCAGGCGTGGGGGCTATGTGTGTCCGTGTGTGTGT